TGTTTTTTTTGTCTTTTGTTCCCAGGGAAAAGGGGAAGCACCTTGGGAGTGCGTAGGCAAGCTGCCCATGGGTCTACACCACCCGTAGTCATCCTCCTGTCTAGAAACACTAGGCAAGACCTGGGCGGACCACCCCCTGTATTTGGTTAGTGAGCCTTGCTAGTGCTCAAGCTAGGTTAGGGGGGGTGTTTCAGGTCAGATAGGCAAGAGGGACTATTTTGTTTTGTTCATTGTTTTGGTTCCGCCCAGCCCCTTTTCCCAAGCAACCCGTATACATAGATATCTATAAATAAAACATTCCTTTTTACGGGTTATATGTGTTCTGGTCGTCCGTGTACCTACACGCACCACACCTCTTTCCCCCCATACCACATTGAGATAACGAGCGGCGGGTCGTTGCGTTCCCTCCTCCACGAGGTGTGCGTAACACCTCCTTTGAATTCAATGTAAGTGGTGATTCAATAGACATTGGTCAGATAGTTTGCTACAATATGATGTTGGAGAGTGAATATGTTTTAGTTTTCACTATCACAGTTGGTGCATAAAGCATAGACGATAGATTAGCCTTTGTCAATTCCATTTGCCATCTATGAATATAAAGTTAGTGGCCTTCTCTGATTGCGTAGGAAGTTAATGCACAGAGTTGAATGTTTCTTCTGCATGGGGACCGCTGGTCCCAGTGCAGGACATCAACAATAGATTGATTACATTACATTACAGGTCATTTAGCAGACGCTTTTATCCAAAGCGACTTACATTACACTTTAAACCCATGGCTTTTTTCACATTGATGTCCTGGGGATACATGGATGATGTACTGTAGCGGACCAATGACACTGAGGCTTAACCTTCTTGTTAACTGTGATGTTGCATTACACAAGGTGGTTGTTACATCAGCAGATCCTTAGCGTCAATAACGTGGTAATCTCATGTGAATAAAAGGAGCACATCAGGTTGTCTCTGAGGAAATGAGTTGGCTCGAGTCCTAATATCACAGGTCAGTGTTTAATGAAGTTAAACTTTGATTAAAGTACTTGTTTGTCACAAATACACTTATAAAACGTAATCTATGCAATTATTGTAGCCGAGATTAATGCAATAAAAGATTTGACCAACTTCAAACAGAAGAGGGATGAGTGGCAAACAAACCGCTAGGCTAAGATAGCACGAGGACAGCAGGAAGAGTCGCTAGTTCAACATGTTCCACCAGGTGGGTTTCCTCCTCCAAGATGGTCAAATGTGTGTAGTTTTTTGTTTAAAATATCACTAAACAACACTATCTAAAAAATATCCTTTGTATAATTGTTACTTTTAAGATTTAGTCTTTTGAAGAAAAAAAACTTTAATGCGGTTTCACGCGATTAATGAATTTGAAAATGTGTGATTCTATTGACAGCCCTAATAAGTTTGCGTCTTTATTGAGCCTGGTGCTGTATTGTTACTTGTATGTTTGAGTATCTGTTTGTCTAGCCCGCTTTTGAATTTAAATGGACCAGTATCTGACCCGAACCTGGAATGAGTTTGACCCCTGTTCTGGAGGAATATAAGGTGAACTGGAATGGTGCTTCATTGAAGCTATAAACACATCCAGTTGTCTCTGACGTTATGGAATTTCCCAGTATTAACTGGAGTAAATAAAGCTATTTGTCTACGCTTTCAGACTTTCTCTAAAAGGTGTCAAACTAAATTCATACAAGCAAATCAGTTATCCTCATAGTTTACAATACCATTTGTGTACCTTCTCTCCTCAAGTACTGTACTTTTCCTCAATCACTGGTTTTACACATCATGTTCAGTTTACTTCTATTCAAGAGTATGACTCATCCTGTAAACAGGGTTCAAAATATTCTTTGGCGCTACAGTTAGCTAACCGGAATCTGAAAAAAATATCCATGTTCATTTTCTATGGTGACTGGTCACCATGCAGCAAGGATGTGTTTGAAGCAAGGAGAGTTATATCTGCTCAGAGTAAAAGTAACAGGCTTGTAAATGGACTGTAATTGCTTTTGTTTAGTCTTACGACCACTCAAAGTGCTTTAACACTACTTGACATCATTCACGCATTCATACACTGATGACAGGAGCTACCATACACAGTGCCACCTGCCCATCAGTCACGAACATTCACACACCGTAGTCACAGCTACAGCAGCAATGTTGGGTTAAGTGTCTTGCCCAAGGCCACATCGATGTGCGGGTTAGCCGGGCCTGGGATCGAACCACCAACCTTCTGATTTAGGACGACGTTCTCCCCACTCACCCACAGTGTTCACGGGACCATTTCTAGGAAGTCTAAGAAGGGTTTTTCTAAAAGAATATGTATAGAGAAGGACAGTCTGCAGAGTGTGAGCTACATTCCAGAAAAAGACCTGATGGGTGAGCAATTTGGCAGGCGCCGCGAGGTAATGAGAACAGCTGACAGAGACGAGATCCGGTGTTAGTGGGACTGTACTGGTAGAAGGCAGTGGACGAGACGAGATCGAGGTCCCTAAAAGACAGCGTTTTTTTTCACCAGGGTATTTTCCCAATATCCCTGGGTATTTTCCAAATGTACCAGCTTTATCTCAACTACCTGACCCACAGGATAACCTTATCAACTGCAAGCACCAAATGAGAGAATTGCTGAGCTCCTTTAAATTTTCCTTTCCTCTCATTAAGGTTTTGGGTCAACTTTTAATTTAATTATTATTGTTTTCTATGCGCACATTACCAGCAGGTTTTGTCTTCCACTTTTACCTCCTGCAGATCAAAATGGAATAAAACAAATACATAAGGGAAAGATTAAAAGAACACAGTGAGAGGATTAAAGTTTGATAATTGAACATGAACCCTCAAAGTATCAGGGCTGAGAAAAACTTTGATAGGTTCATGTTGAAGTGAGGATCCAAGGTCTCATCCTCATTCCGTCAGACTTTAAAGAAAAGGAGATGACTAAACCCCCCATGGACCACCATCGCGTCCAGATTTGATTATATGAAATAAGTTAGCAATCCACATTGCAAATGTTGTGTAGCCCAACCCTCCAATGCATCTAAGGAGAGTATAAAGATCAGCAGAGGTTCTTGTCTTCAGTTGGGAGGGTCGCAGCAACGGACCAGAAGCTTTCATACTTGGTAGATACCTGGAGCCTTCAGTGTAAGATGTGACTTCACGTTTATATATTGTTTGCTAATCGTTGTGTGAATACTGATATCTACATGCTCATATGTTTTCACGGGTGACTGAGATGACAGGTATCTGTATCATTTCTGAGCTACAGAGACAATGTTATAGACCAGAATCCATTTGGCTTTGTTACTTTGACCAGTGTGGTGGAACACAGTTTTGATGCAGAGATCATTGTTTAGGTTTATCTCAGTTGTTGATGAAAATAACTTTGATCAAAGTTCAAAACAATGAGACTATTTTGTGATTGTTTATTTCTGTGCGCTCGAATGTAACTGACAAGAAAAGCTCCTTGATGTGTTTGCCTGCCTCACATTACGATTATAAGAACATTTAAATGCAGGTAGAATATTGAGTTGAGGCATTATAGAAAAGGATAACAGACACTTTTACTGAGCCAGCGTTGCTGCTACATCCTCTATGACTCACTTTGTTGCACGCATAGTGCTCATCAAAGAAATGGAGAACTCCACTGAGGTTGTGTCTTTTGTGCTGTCTGCTTATGGTGATATTGGAAATTTAAAATATCTCTATTTCAGCATAATACTATTATGGTACATCTTCATTTGTACGACCAACACAATTCTTATTGTGGTCATATATATGGACAGAGGATTGCATGAGCCGATGTATTTATTATTATGTCATTTGTTTATGAATGAAATAAGTACAAGTATGTCACTATATCCTCTCCTGCTCTCACAGATGTTTTCAGATACACATGAAGTGATATTGCCGTGGTGTTTTCTGCAGATGTTTTGTTTCTTCATATTTAGCTGTGTTGAGTTATGCAGTTTAACAGCTATGGCCTATGACAGATATGTCTGTATCTGTTATCCTTTACAATACAATGTTTTGATGAGCAACAAGAGAGTAGGTAAGATCATTCTGCTTGTTTGGATTTATTCATTTACTAGCTATATGTTCTCATTTTCATTTGTCATCCCTTTGACATTTTGTGGAAATGTCATTGACAAAGTGTTTTGTGACCAACAGTTTGTAGTTAAACTTGCATGTTCAGTCCCAGCACTTACCAGCATATCTGACCTGTTGTTTGGCTTCATGAGTTTGATTCTCCCATTTAGTCTCATTTCATTCTCTTACATGAAGATTTTGTGGGTTTGTCTAATTGTGTCAAAAGAAAGCAAACAAAAAGTCATAACAACCTGCACACCTCAGATTGTATCATTGTCAAACATTTTTGTTGGCGCCACTTTTCATTTTGTAGGATCCAGGCTGGATGTTGTCTTTTTACCAGATAAAGTGCGCATTGTTTTATCCATATATCTCCATATACTTCAACCGATAATCACCCCCTTCATGTATGGAATTTACCTGCCCAAAATAAGACAATCGTGTAAAAGACTTCTGTTTGGTAGAAAGTAAACGTTGGACATTTTACACTGTGATTGATGTTCTTTGATGTAAATGCCTCACCATTAAATAAATAATTGGAATTACTCAATTGTTTCTCTATGTCACGGATGTATTTCTACAAAGGAGAATTATAATAAATATGTTGGATATTTTACACTGTCATTAATGTTCTTTGATGTAAATGGCTCACCATTGAAAGAATAATTGGAATTTCTCAAATGTTTCTCTATGCCACGGATGTATTTCTACAGAGGAGAATTATACAGTTTTTGCTCGGAAAGTAACATGTTTATCTTTACAGGATGGTTGCAAATTCACACATTTTCAAAAATTTGAAAACATTTTCAATATCACAAACATTAGAAATAAACAAACATCAGTTTTAGATGGTTTTCTCCACTCGACCATGATCAACTGACTTTAACATTTCTAATTCTAAACCTAAACCACTTGTCTCTTTGATTTCATTCCAACTAGACTGCTTAAAGAAGTTGTACCTTTAGTTATCATAACCAATATGGTCAAATTACAATATTATTCCTGTTATATTATTACTGTTACGCTATTATGAAACCGGTTTCAAAAAGAATCAACAAGCAAATGTTTCCGCTTTAGTGTTGCTAACCAGAATAAATGTCCTCTTCTCAACTAAATATTTTTTGGGGAAAAATCATCTCATAAAAATAGTTATGTGAATAGTAGAGATATAATTCTTATGAGGTTATTACAGTCCTGCTGTAACAACAAGCACACTACTTCACGTATTGATAGAATTTGCCACCAGAGGTCATAAACAGACCGGATTGTAAATGTGTGAGAACTCCTCGCGTCAGGTCCTTTTACAGGTCAGAGGGAGTACGGCTACATGTTGATACAGTTGCATGTTTCTTCTGCATTGGTACTGCTGGTCCCAGTGCAGGAAGACATACATGGATAATGTAGTGGACCAATGACACTGAAGCTTAGTCATCATGTTCACTGTGATATGGCATTACACAAGGTGGTAGTTACATCAGCGGATCTCATGTTAATTAATGGAACACATCGTGTTGTGTCTGAGGAAATGAGTTGGCTCAAGTGCTAAGTGCGACAGCTCATTTTTTAATCAAGTTAAACTTTAATTAAAATACTTGTTTGATACAATTACAATTAACAAAAGTATTAGGGTTGTCAAAATGAACGTGTAATCTTTGTGATTATTGTGGCCAAAATTATTGCGATAAAATATTGTAACAGAGTTGCCGCAACTTTGTTAAGTTCCTTCAAACAGAAGAGGGATGAGTGGCCAACGGAGCACTTTACGCAGTGCTAGGCTACGCTAGCTGCTAGGCTACAGTCAGCAGAAGGCAACCACAATGGCCCTTAAATGCAGTGGTTTGGAAACTCAAACAAAGCCTTCAAACGATGGAGAGTTGAGAGCGAAGTGCATGCAGGAAAGCAGGAAGAGTCGCTAGTTCAACATGTTCCATCCAGAGGGATTCTGCCTCCAAGATGATCAGTTGTGTGTAGTTTTGTGTTTAAAATACCACTAAACAACATTGTCTAAAAAACACGCTTTCTAAACTCGTTACTTTTAAGATTTAGTCTTTAGAAGAAAAAAAAACGTAATCGCGATGAATGAATTTCAAAATGTGCGATTAATTAGTTAATTTTTTTTTATCCATTGACAGCCCTAAAAGGTTTGCATCTTTATTGAGTCTGGTGCCGTATTGTTACTTGTATGTTTGACACTTTTTCGGTATTTGTTAAGTACAGACTGAACCACTGCACATAAACGGATCAGTGTGGTTCTAAAGAAACACATGACATGTAACGGTGAACTTGAATGGTGCGTCATTAAAGCTATAAACATGTCCAGTTGTCTAAAGTTATTGAATTAAAAGTATTAACTGTAGTAAATAAGACTATTTGTCAGCTTTTTCAGACTTTGTCTGAAATGTGTCAAACTAAATCCATACAAGCAAATCAGTCATTCTAATAGTTTAAAATACCATATTGTACTTTCTCTCCTCAAGTAGGCCTACTGAAATTAAATCACTGGTTTTACACATCATGCTCAGTTTACTCCTATTCAAGAGTATGACTCAAATTATCTTCTTTGGCTCTGCAGGGAGCTAATATGGTGACCACAACTTTCAGTAAAATGGAGGTTAGACTATGCCGTTAAACATTTGCTTATCCAGTCCATCAGCTAAACAGATTGTTCCTCGTATTAGGACAATAACGAACAAAACAGACCAAATGAACTGGGACTCTGAAACCTCAAACAAGGTCCAAAGCACACAAGGTTTTACAGTAAGGCCTGTTCCACCTAAGAAAAAAAGGTTCTGTGTGGGTTTTTAGGTCAGAGGTCGCGAAAAGCCAGTCTATACCGTGTATTGCTATATCAATTATTTCTTTGCATGTGAGGACTTTCTTTTTGTCTTTTTATTAAAAGGGAATGAAAGACATGAGCATTATCATCTCCTCTTCCTTTTAAAGTGCCTGATACGAGATTCAAAGCATTTTATTCTGCCTCTCAACAGCCCTCAACATGGCAAAGGCGAGCCGGCACCTTGTGCAATGCTAACTGTGCTAACAGACAAGAGTGCTGACAGTACTATCAGTGCACAACAGAGGGGGAAACAGTCATGTGGCTCAACCCTTCCGTGACTACTCGATTGGTCAAGATGGCGTCATGAAGTGTAATCACAATACGAGAACGGTGCTGAACTCCTTTGAATTTCCATTTCCTCTCATCAGTGTTTTGGGTCAACTTATAATTTAATTCTTAATGTTTTGCATGCATACTTTCCCAGCAGGTTTTTTCTTCAACTTTTCCCTCTTGCAAATCGGAGCAGAATTAAAAAAACTACAGAAGCGGCAGAAGAAAATAACACAGTAAGAGGATTAATGTATCAGGACGGAGAAAAACTTTGATAGGTTCTTGTCGAACTGGGGCTCCGATGTCTCATCCTTATTCAGTCTTACTTTAAAGAAGATAAGATGACTAAACCCCCCATGGACCACCAGCGCGTCCAGATTTGATTGCATGAAATTACACAGCAATCCATAATGCAAATGTTGTGTAGCCCAACCCCCCAATGCATCACAAGAGTATAAAGATCAGCAGAGGTTCTCGTCTTGTTCAGGTGGGAGGGTCGCAGCAACGGACCAGAGGCTTTCATACTTGGTAGATACCTTGAGCCTTGAGTGTAAAATGTGACTTTATGTTCATATATGTTTGCCAATTGTTGTGTGAATACTGGTATCTACATCCTCATATGTTTTCACAGGTGACTGAGAAGACGGTATCTTTGTCATTTATGAGCCACAGAGACAATGTTATAGACCAGAATCAGATTTTTTATATGTATCTCAGTTTATAAGGAGAATATTTCAGGACGAAATTCAAAGAAATGAGATTTCTTATATTTTGTGATTCTTTGTTACAGTACTGTGAAATGTAACAGTCAACAAAAGCTCCTTAATGTGTTTTCCTGCCTCACAATACAATTATAAGAACATTTAAATGCAGGTAGGAATTTGAGTTGAGGCATTATAGAAAAGGAAAACAGATAACACTATTACTGAGCCAGCTTTGCTGCTACATCGTCTGTAATTCACGTTGTTCCACTCATAGAGCTCATCAAAGTAATGGAGAACTCCACTGTGGTTGTGTCTTTTGTGCTGTCTGCTTATGGTAACATTGGAAACTTAAAGTACCTGTATTTCAGCATAATACTATTATGGTACATCTCCATTTGTGTGTCAAACACAATTCTTATTGTGGTCATATATATGGACAGAGGATTGCATGAGCCGATGTATTTATTATTAGATAATTTGTTTTTGAATGAAATTTATATAAGCACATCAATATACCCTCTTCTGCTCTCACAGATGTTGTCAGATACACATGAAGTGACGTTGCCATGGTGTTTTCTGCAGATGTTTTGTTTCTACATATTTGGTTGTGTCCAGTTATGCAATTTAGCAGCTATGGCCTATGACAGATATGTCTGTATCTGTTATCCTTTACAATACAATGTTGTTATGAGCAACAAGAGAGTAGGTAAGATTATTCTGCTTGTTTGGATTCATTCATTTACTAGCTATATGTTCTCATTTTCATTCGTCATCCCTTTGACATTTTGTGGAAATGTCATTGACAAAGTGTTTTGTGACCAACAGTCGGTAATTAAACTTGCATGTTCAGTCTCAGTACTTACCAGCATATCTGACCTGTTTATTGGCTTTATGAGTTTAATTATCCCATTTAGTCTCATATCAGTGTCTTACATTAAGATTTTGTGGGTTTGTCTAATTGTGTCAAAAGAAAGCAAAAAAAAAGTCTTAACAACCTGCACACCTCAGATTGTATCATTGACAAACATTTTTGTCGGCGTCACTTTTCATTTTGTGGGATCCAGGCTAGATGTTGGCTATTTACCAGATAAAGTGCACATTATTTTATCCATATATATCCATATGCTTCAACCAATGATCACCCCCTTCATGTACGGACTTTACCTGCCCAAAATAAGACAATCGTGTAAAAGACTTTTATTTGGTAGAAAGTAAACCTTGGACATTTTACACTGTCATTAATGTTCTTTGATGTAAATGGCTCACCATTAAATAAATAATTGGAATTTCTCAAATGTTTCTCTATGTCACAGATGTATTTCTACAAAGGAGAATTATACAGTTTTTGCTCGGAAAAGTAACATGTTTATCTTTACAGGATGGTTGCAAATTCACACATTTTCAAAAATTTGAAAACATTTTCAATATCACAAACATTAGAAATAAACAAACATCAGTTTTAGATGGTTTTCTCCACTCGACCATGATCAACTGACTTTAACATTTCTAATTCTAAATCTAAACCACTTGTCTCTTTGATTTTATTCCAACTAGACTGCTTAAAGAAGTTGTACCTTTAGTTATCATAACCAATATGGTCAAAGTACAATATTATTACTGTTATATTATTACTGTTACGCTATTATGAAACCAGTTTCAAAAAGAATCAACAAGCAAATGTTTCCGCTTTAGTGTTGCTAACCAGAATAAATGTCCTCTTCTCAACTAAATATTTTTTGGGGAAAAATCATCTCATAAAAATAGTTATGTGAATAGTAGTGATATAATTCTTATGAGGTTATTACAGTCCTGCTGTAACAACAAGCACACTACTTCACGTATTGATAGAATTTGCCACCAGAGGTCATAATCAGACCGGATTGTAAATGTGTGAGAACTCCTCGCGTCAGGTCCTTTTACAGGTCAGAGGGAGTACGGCTACATGTTGATACAGTTGCATGTTTCTTCTGCATTGGTACTGCTGGTCCCAGTGCAGGAAGACATACATGGATAATGTAGTGGACCAATGACACTGAAGCTTAGTCATCATGTTCACTGTGATATGGCATTACACAAGGTGGTAGTTACATCAGCGGATCTCATGTTAATTAATGGAACATCGGGTTGTGTCTGAGGAAATGAGTTGGCTTAAGTGCTAAGTGCGACAGCTCAGTTTTTATTCAAGTTAAACTTTAATTAAAATACTTGTTTGATGCAATTACAATTAACAAAAGTATTAGGGTTGTCAAAATGAACGTGTAATCTTTGTGATTATTGTGGCCAAGATTAATGCGATAAAATATTGTAACAGAGTTACCGCAACTCTGTTTAGTTCCTTCAAACAGAAGAGGGATGAGTGGCCAACGGAGCACTTTATGCAGTGCTAGGCTACGCTAGCTGCTAGGCTACACACAGTCAGCATAAGGCAACCACAATGGCCCTTAAATGCAGTGGTTTGGAAACTCAAACAAAGCCTTCAAACGATGGAGAGTTGAGAGCAAAGTGCATGCAGGAAAGCAGGAAGAGTCGCTAGTTCAACATGTTCCATCCAGAGGGATTCTGCCTCCAAGATGATCAATTGTGTGTAGTTTTGTGTTTAAAATACCACTAAACAACATTGTCTAAAAAACACGCTTTCTAAACTTGTTACTTTTAAGATTTAGTCTTTAGAAGAAAAAAAACGTAATCGCGATGAATGAATTTCAAAATGTGCGATTAATTAGTTAATTTATTTTATCCATTGACAGCCCTAAAAGGTTTGCATCTTTATTGAGTCTGGTGCCGTATTGTTACTTGTATGTTTGACACTTTTTTCGGTATTTGTTAAGTAAAGACTGAACCACTGCACATAAACGGATCATGTTCTAAAGAAACACATGACATGTAACGGTGAACTTGAATGGTGCGTCATTAAAGCTATAAACATGTCCAGTTGTCTAAAGTTATTGAATTAAAAGTATTAACTGTATTAAATAAGACTATTTGTCAGCTTTTTCAGACTTTGTCTGAAATGTGTCAAACTAAATCCATACAAGCAAATCAGTCATTCTAATAGTTTAAAATACCATATTGTACTTTCTCTCCTCAAGTAGGCCTACTGAAATTAAATCACTGGTTTTACACATCATGCTCAGTTTACTCCTATTCAAGAGTATGACTCAAATTATCTTCTTTGGCTCTGCAGGGAGCTAATATGGTGACCACAACTTTCAGTAAAATGGAGGTTAGACTATGCCATTAAACATTTGCTTATCCAGTCCATCAGCTAAACAGATTGTTCCTCGTATTAGGACAATAACGAACGAAACAGACCAAATGAACTGGGACTCTGAAACCTCAAACAAGGTCCAAAGCACACAAGGTTTTACAGTAAGGCCTGTTCCACCTAAGAAAAAAAGGTTCTGTATGGGTTTTTAGGTCAGAGGTCGCGAAAAGCCAGTCTATACCGTGTATTGCTATATCAATTATTTCTTTGCATGTGAGGACTTTCTTTTTGTCTTTTTATTAAAAGGGAATGAAAGACATGAGCATTATCATCTCCTCTTCCTTTTAAAGCGCCTGATACGAGATTCAAAGCATTTTATTCTGCCTCTCAACAGCCCTCAACATGGCAAAGGCGAGCCGGCACCTCGTGCAATGCTAACTGTGCTAACAGACAAGAGTGCTGACAGTACTATCAGTGCTCATCAGAGGTGGAAACAGTCATGTGGCCCAACAATTTAATTCTTAATGTTTTGCATGCATACTTTCCCAGCAGGTTTTTTCTTCAACTTTTCCCTCTTGCAAATCGGAGCAGAATTAAAAAAACTACAGAAGCGGCAGAAGAAAATAACACAGTAAGAGGATTAATGTATCAGGACGGAGAAAAACTTTGATAGGTTCTTGTCGAACTGGGGCTCCGATGTCTCATCCTTATTCAGTCTTACTTTAAAGAAGATAAGATGACTAAACCCCCCATGGACCACCAGCGCGTCCAGATTTGATTGCATGAAATTACACAGCAATCCATAATGCAAATGTTGTGTAGCCCAACCCCCCAATGCATCACAAGAGTATAAAGATCAGCAGAGGTTCTCGTCTTGTTCAGGTGGGAGGGTCGCAGCAACGGACCAGAGGCTTTCATACTTGGTAGATACCTTGAGCCTTGAGTGTAAAATGTGACTTTATGTTCATATATGTTTGCCAATTGTTGTGTGAATACTGGTATCTACATCCTCATATGTTTTCACAGGTGACTGAGAAGACGGTATCTTTGTCATTTATGAGCCACAGAGACAATGTTATAGACCAGAATCAGATTTTTTATATGTATCTCAGTTTATAAGGAGAATATTTCAGGACGAAATTCAAAGAAATGAGATTTCTTATATTTTGTGATTCTTTGTTACAGTACTGTGAAATGTAACAGTCAACAAAAGCTCCTTTATGTGTTTTCCTGCCTCACAATACAATTATAAGAATATTTAAATGCAGGTAGGAATTTGAGTTGAGGCATTATAGAAAAGGAAAACAGATAACACTATCACTGAGCCAGCTTTGCTGCTACATCGTCTGTAATTCACGTTGTTCCACTCATAGAGCTCATCAAAGTAATGGAGAACTCCACTGTGGTTGTGTCTTTTGTGCTGTCTGCTTATGGTAACATTGGAAACTTAAAGTACCTGTATTTCAGCATAATACTATTATGGTACATCTCCATTTGTGTGTCAAACACAATTCTTATTGTGGTCATATATATGGACAGAGGATTGCATGAGCCGATGTATTTATTATTAGATAATTTGTTTTTGAATGAAATTTATATAAGCACATCAATATATCCTCTTCTGCTCTCACAGATGTTGTCAGATACACATGAAGTGACGTTGCCGTGGTGTTTTCTGCAGATGTTTTGTTTCTACATATTTGGTTGTGTCCAGTTATGCAATTTAGCAGCTATGGCCTATGACAGATATGTCTGTATCTGTTATCCTTTACAATACAATGTTTTGATGAGCAACAAGAAAGTAGGTAAGATCATTCTGCTTGTTTGGATTTATTCATTTATTAGCTATATGTTCTCATTTTCATTTGTCATCCCTTTGACATTTTGTGGAAATGTCATTGACAAAGTGTTTTGTGACCAACAGTCGGTAATTAAACTTGCATGTTCAGTCTCAGTACTTACCAGCATATCTGACCTGTTTATTGGCTTTATGAGTTTAATTATCCCATTTAGTCTCATATCAGTGTCTTACATTAAGATTTTGTGGGTTTGTCTAATTGTGTCAAAAGAAAGCAAAAAAAAAGTCTTAACAACCTGCACACCTCAGATTGTATCATTGGCAAACATTTTTGTCGGCGTCACTTTTCATTTTGTGGGATCCAGGCTAGATGTTGGCTATTTACCAGATAAAGTGCACATTATTTTATCCATATATATCCATATGCTTCAACCAATGATCACCCCCTTCATGTACGGACTTTACCTGCCCAAAATAAGACAATCGTGTAAAAGACTTCTGTTTAGTAGACAATAAATAAGTTGGATATTTTACACTGTGATTATTGTTCTTGTAAGTGCTTCACCATGCTTTTTATACTCGTTACTTTTAAAATGTAGTCTTTAGAAGAAAAAAAAAACGTTTAATCGCGATTAATGAATTTCAAATTCTGAAAAATAAATATGTTGGATATTTAACACTGTGATTAATGTCCTTTGATGTAACTGCCTCACCATTAAAAACATGTTTCTCTTAATGTGGCACGGAAGTATTTAGAGCGAGGAGAGTTACATCTGCTCTGAGGAAAAGTAAAATCTTTGTCTTCACAGCGTTTTCAAACTTACATACAGTAAATAAGCAGTTTTATACTGCAGTTTTAGATGTCTTTTCTTCCGACCTTTATCAACTAGTTTCTAATTGATGACTTTTATGAAGTTATTACAGTCCTGCTGTAACACTGAGCACACTACTTCATGTATTGATCGAAATCGCCACCAGAGCTCATAATCAGACCGGATTGTAAATGTGTGAGAACTCCTCACGTCAGGTCCTTTTAAAGGTCAGAGGGAGTACTATGAGATAGAACAATAAAAAGGAAGTTAGACCATGCCAAAAAAAACATTTGCATATATGGTGTGTGTGTTGATTTTCCTTCATTTCAATGCATTTCTTATTTTCTTTGGTACTTTAATTTGCATCTATTTTATTATTTTCTTGTGGTTTTTTGGTTTGGCTTTCCCAAATATCAACATCATACATTTTCCTCGCAGTGCTTAACAATCAGGGTCAACGTAACCCTCATGAAATTAGGGCTACTAATGTCAGGAGTAGTAAGGGTTATTGCCTAAAGAGGGCGCACTTGCGTTCCGTTCAAGGGAACTCCCCACGGGTAAGAAATCCTTCTATCCTTCCGAGATTTTCTCATGATGACGTGAAGGAAAGAAGCTCCCAGATTTCAAACCATTCAAAATATTACCATAGTTTGCATTTAATCATACTAATAAGACTATTTTCCGACTAGACATCCAACTTGAGAGTGTCAACTCAAGTAACTCCGTAGAATAATCGCATACTGGAAACTGAGTGAACACGTTTACCTAGTCACTGCTAGAATCATGCTAGAGAACTTGGCAGAGAACTAATACTGCTTTTAAGTTGCTATTTGAAAGATGACCTCTTTAAAACCAAACTGTGTAATAACATTGTCATTATCAATAACAGCTAATGTCTTGACTGACTAGCACAGCTATACGATTGGTTACTGTGTTGTTGTTTGATCATCCCAATGTAATCGGAGTGCACCCAGGTAATGGCTACACATGTAGAAAATAAGTTGGTGAGATCTCATGTAAGGAATAGAATTAGAAAACACACGGATTATTCTGCACTTTGTGTAGGTTGTTTTTTTTATGCACACTAGAAGTACACATGAAGACCCGGACCAGAACGGAACTCGTGGAACTTTCAAGCACACACTATTCATGGACTGAATGGACTTTATCCTGGGAACTGTGCGTACACACACACTGAAAAGACAGAGTTCTTTTACAAGAATCGTACAATTTCCAAACAATCTACTCTTCCCGTTTTATTTTACACTGTTTTACACTGTGATTGTTGCATGACCAATTGTGAAGCAATAAACTGGTCATTTGTTCAACTTGTTCTTTGTCTTAGGCCTACCTCTCCTTTGAATCTAGGTAGATATTTAGTGCTTTTTCTAACCCTAACCCCAGACAAGTGCTACATCAACATCCAACCATGAATCGGAAAAGATACGTTTTCTCAAAACAAACCTTATGTGACCTAATGGACACTTAAAATACTTTGAGAATAGTATCCAGACGTGACAACGCCACTCTCTTTGGAGGGGAGAGACCCTGAATCCATATCTTATTGGCCAAAACCCCATACGAGGTAGATCATAGACAGACAGAGGTTCTGCGTGTACAATGCAATATCACTTTTATTTAAACAATAACTTTATAAAACCACATCCAAATAATTTATACCAGTAGTGATCGACCGGGGGCACAATGACACTTCCAACAATAAAAACACTGCACACTGTTAAGAAAGGCTAAAATAAGTAACACTACAAACCAACACACTCAAATACGATTACTGATCCTAGTTAAAAGACACAACACAATAGAAGTGGGGAAGGGGGAAGCAACGGTTATCAAAAGGGCACAATATCAGTGTGTTATTTCTATGAATAGAGGGAGCAAGATGGAGGCACTTGAGCATAATCTAAACTAAAACTATGGTCTGAGAAAAAGAGCAGTGGCTGTCCTGCTGACCACTGCGTGTCACCAGTTCAGCCTGAAATGCACAAAACAGCCATTAATCACCAAGTACCCATCATCCTTCTCACTACAAAACGCATAATGTGCTTGCAAGCCCAACTTCCTACCTCCTTGGCCCAATGCACCGGTGCACCAGCAGGTAGGACCCTGGGCTCACCAGGTCTGGTTCAGGTCTGACCTTCTACCATAGAGAAGAACATTATATTAATTTCCCCATGGCCTACAGGATGTAGATTAAAATTGCACAACCTACCTCCTTAGTACGGTTTGCTCACCCGCACGGTACTGGCGAGCAACAAACAAAGCACCCAGACTTCAGCACATGCCGGACAACGAGAACAAACGTGAGTTGCTCAACTCTCACAGGATCTCCTTTATATGGAGAGGCTCTCCTTGAGTTTAAGAATCCCGCTCTATGCTGAGGCTCCCAGGTCCTAAGGTCCCACTCTCACACTTAAATAGTGAAAAAAAGGAAGAAATTGTTGGAGAGACATTTTATAAAGGAAATAATCTTCAAGGATGGCCAAAGGTGAAATAAATAAAGGGAATGAAGGATGTGAACATTATCTTCTCCACTTCCTTTTAAAGTGCAAGATACAAGATTCAAAGCATTTTATTCTGCCTCTCAAAAGCCCTCAACATGGCGAAGGCAAGTCGGCACCTCGTGCAATGGTAACTGTGCTAACAGACAAGAGTGCTGACAGAACTAGCAGTGCTCATCAGAGGTGGAAACAGTCATGGGGCTCAACACTTCCGTGACACTCTATTGGTCAGGATAACATCAACCAGTGTAAACACAATACGAAAACATTAATGAGCTGCTTAAAGGTTCCGTTTCCTATCATCAACTCTTAATTCAATGCTTTTTGTTTTTTATGCATACATTCCCAGCTGTTTTTTTCTTCCACTTTAACCTCAAAAATTAGTGTCAGAAGAAAAGAACACAGTGAGAAGAATAAAATTTTGTAGTTCAACATGAACCCTCAAAGGATCAGGGCTGGGAAAAAACCTTCATAGGTTCATGTTGAACTGGGGATCTGATGTCTCATCCCCATTCATTCTTACTTTAAAGAAGATGAGATGACTAAACCCCCCATGGACCACCAGTGCGTCCAGATTTGATTACATAAAATTACACAGCAATACATAATGCGAATGTTGTGTAGCCAAACCCTCTAATGCATCCAAGAAGAGTATAAAGATCAGCAAAGGTTCTCGTCTTGTTCAGGTGGGAGGGTCGCAGCAACGGACCAGAGGCTTTCATACTTGGTAGATACCTTGAGCCTTCAGTGTAAGCTGTGACTTTACGTTCATATATTGTTTGCTAATTGTTGTGTGAATACTGATATCTACATGCTCATATGTTTTCACGGGTGACTAAGAAGACAGGTATCTGTATCATTTATGAGCCACAGAGACAATGTTATAGACCAGAATCCATTTGGCTTTGTTACTTTGACCAGTGTGGTGGAACTCAGTGTGGTGCTGGTTTACTCTGGTATGCAGAGATCATTGTTTAGATTTATTTCAGTTTATGAGGACAATATTTTGGGACAAAATTCAAACAAATTAGAATATTTTGTGATTCATTTAAATGCAGGTAGAAATACATTATTATGATTATAATGAGGCATTATAGAAGAGGATAACAGATAACACTATTACTGAGCCATCGTTGCTGCTACATCCTCTATGACTCACATTGTTGCACGCATAGTGTGCATCAAAGAAATGGAGAACTCCACTGAGGTTGTGTCTTTTGTGCTGTCTGCTTATGGTGATATTGGAAACTTAAAGTACCTGTATTTCAGCATAATGCTATTATGGTACATCTCTGTTTGTGTGTCAAACACAATTCTTGTTGTGGTCATATATGTGGACAGAGGATTGCATGAGCCGATGTATTTATTATTAGGTAATTTGTTTATGAATGAAATATATGTAACCACATCACTATATCCTCTTCTGCTCTCACAGATGTTGTCAGATACACATGAAGTGACGTTGTCATGGTGTTTTCTGCAGATGTGTTGTTTCTACATATTTGGTTGTGTCCAGTTATGCAGTTTCACAGCTATGGCCTATGACAGATATGTCTGTATCTGTTATCCTTTACAATACAATGTTGTTATGAGCACAGAGAGAGTAGGTAAGATCATTCTGCTCGTTTGGATTTATTCATTTACTAGCTATATGTTCTCATTTTCATTTGTCATCCCTTTGACCTTTTGTGGAAATGTCATTGACAAAGTGTTTTGTCACCAACAGTCAGTAATTAAACTTGCATGTTCAGTCTCAGCACTTACCAGCATATCTGACCTGATTTTTGGCTTTATGTGTGTGATTCTCCCATTTTGTCTCATTTCAGTCTCTTACATGAAGATTTTGTGGGTTTGTCTAAATGTGTCAAAAGAAAGCAAACAAAAAGTCATAACAACCTGCACACCTCAGATTGTATCATTGTCAAACATTTTTGTCTACGCCACTTTTCAATTTGTGGGGTCATTCCTGGATATTCGCTATTTACCAGAAGTGCGTGTTATTTTATCCATATATATCCATATACTTCAACCAATGATCACCCCTTTTATGTACGGACTTTACCTGCCCAAAATAAGACAATCATGTAAAAGACTTCTGTTTGATAGAAAATAAATATGTTGGATATTTAACACTGTGATTACTGTTCTTTGATGTAACTGTCTCATCATTAAAAAATGTTTCTCTTAATGTGGCACGTATGTATTTCGAGTGAGGAGAGTTATATCATCTCTGAGGAAAAGTTTTATTCTGCAGTTTTAAATGTCTTTTCTCCCATCAACCTTGATCAACTGACTTCAACAGTTTTTATTTGATGACTTTTAAGAAGTTATTACAGTCCTGCTGTAACAACAAGCACACTATCACATGTATTGATAGAATTTGCCACCAGATGTCAGAATCAGACCGGATTGTAAATGTGAGAGAACTCCTCACATCAGGACCGTTTTAAGGTCAGAGGGAGAATGACTACATGTTGACCACAGTCGCATGTTTCTTCTGCCTTAGTACTGCTGGTCCCAGTGCAGGAGGACATACATGGATAATGTAGTGGACCAATGTTCACTGTGATGTGACATTACACATAAGGTGATAGTTACATCACCAGATCTTTAGCGTCAATAACGTGGTAATCTCATGTTAATTATTGGAACACAAAAGGTTGTCTCTGAGGAAATGAGTTGGCTCAAGTCAGTGTTTAATCAGGTTAAACGTTCAACAAAGTACTTGTTTGTTACAAATATACTTAAAAGTATTTGGCCAATTAACATGTTAATCTATGCAATTATTGTGGCTGAGATGTGATAAAATATTTGAATGCAGTTAACGCCACTTTGTTTACTTCCTTCAAACAGAAGGGGGATGAGTGGCAAACGGACCACGCCCTGCAAGGCTAAGCTAGCTGCTAAACTACTTCCATTTCAACAGCTAATATTAAGTTACCCCGCGCGCACACAATCTACAGAGGACCACCACCGTGTCCCTTAAAGGCAGTGGTTTGAAAACGTCCTGTCTAAATGAGATTAACCTAGTTTGTTGGGGAAATAGCCAATCACTGTGTCTTGCGAGACTATCCCAGACGAGAGCGAGCCTGGGGCTGGCCCTACGACGGCCCAGGTGGAATCTATTTTAGGACGCTGATTGGCTAAATAATATGACACTCATATATCTTGAATTAGTAATTTGCTAAATTGCTTCTTAGACCTGCCTCGAAACCAGCTGAGACATGCAGACAAGCGGAGAGGACGTAGAGGACAACCATTCGTGTGTGTGTGTGCGTGTGTGTGTGTGTGTGTGTGTGTGTGTGTGTGTGTTTTTTTCGCCCATCGACCTTTACTTTGTTGGAGTTTTTGACTATTAAAGTCGTTTTGCGTTAAAGTCTGCGTTTGAGTCCTGCCTTCCCGCAGAAGCTGGTGGCATCCTGACACATATATTTTGCACAGATATCTTATTTTACAAATATTACATGGTATATTCCATACAAACCTTGACAATTTGTAACATGTATTTTAATATAATATAATATTACAATATATTGTTGTGGCTCAAGGTGGGGCCAGGCCCCATGGCCCTCTATTGGACAGTAGTCAACATGAAGCCATGACCTATAAACAGACCTGATGTGAGGAGTGCTCAAATATTTACGATCTGACCTCTGGTGGCAAATTCTATCGCTACATTGAGTAGTGTACTTGCTGTTACTGCAGGACTGTAATAACTTCATAACGATCATCCCACTACATTAACCTTACATTACAGTCTAATTTAATGAAAAAAACATTCAGAAATATTTACCAAAAAAAGCACTTAAATGAGAAGAGCTCATGCGATTTATTGTGATTAGCCACACAAGTGAAAAATTAACATGTTCATTATTTTTAAACTGCAGACTAAAACTAATGGTCTTTTATTTGTAAACGTTTGCGATGTATTTGAAAACTTGTTAAGCTTCACAAATTATTTTTTTGTTTGTAACTTGAAACCGTCCCGTGAGTACAAACAATTACTTTTCCTCCAAAACAGACAGCTCTACTTGCTTTATCTACATCCTTGCCAGATTAAGAGACATATTTTTTTTAATGATAAAGCACTTACAACAAAGAAAACATCAGTGTTAAATTTCCAAAATATTTATTTTCTATCAAACAGAAGTCTTTTACACGATTCTCTGATTTTTGGTAGGTAAAGTCCGTACATAAAAGGGGTGATCATTGGTTGAAAGATGAGGAGATATATGGATAAAATAATGTGCACTTCATCTGGTAAATAGCCAACATCCAGCCTGGATCCCACAAAATGAAAAGTGACGCCGACAAAAATGTTTGACAATGATACAATCTGAGGTGTGCAGGTTGTTAAGACTTTTTTTTTGCTTTCTTTTGACACAATTAGACAAACCCACAAAATCTTAATGTAAGAGATTGAAATGAAACTAAATGGGAGAATCAAACTCATAAAGGCAAAAAACAGGTCAGATATGCTGGTAAGTGCTGAGACTGAACATGCAAGTTTAATAACTAACTGTTGGTCACAAAACACTTTGTCAATGACATTTCCACAAAATGTCAAAGGGATGATGAATGAAAATGAGAACATATAGCTAGTAAATGAATAAATCCAAACAAGCAGAATGATCTTACCTACTCTCTTGTTGTTCATAACAACATTGTAGTGTAAAGGATAACAGATACAGACATATCTGTCATAGGCCATAGCTGTTAAACTGCATAACTCAACACAGCTACATGTGTAGATACAAAACATCTGCAGAAAACACCACGGCAACGTCACTTCATGTGTATCTGAAAACATCTGTGAGAGTAGAAGAGGATATAGTGATGTGCTTGCACTTATTTCATTCATGAACAAATGACTCAATAATATATACATTGGCTCATGCAATCCTCTGTCCATATATATGACCACAATAAGAATTGTGTTGGTCGCACAAATGGAGCTGTACCATAATAACATTATGCTGAAATACAGGTATTTTAAGTTTCCAATGTTACCATAAGCAGACAGCACAAAAAACACAACCTCAGTGGAGTTCTCCATTTCTTTGATGAACACTATGCGTGCAACAAAGTGAGTCATAGAGGATGTAGCAGCAATGATGGCTCAGTAAAAGTGTTATCTGTTAAACTTTCCAATAATGCGTGAACTCAATATTCTACCTTTATTTAAATGTTCTTATAATCGTAATGCGAGGCAGGCAAACACATAAATGACACAGATACCTGTCTTCTCAGTCGCCTGTGAAAACATACGAGAATGTAGATATTAGTATTCACACAACAATTGGCATACAATATATACCCCAAAAGTCACATATTACACTTAAGGTATCTACCAAGTATGAAAGCCTCCGGTCCGTTGCTGCGACCCTCCCAACTGAACAAGACAAGAACCTCTGCTGATCTTTATACTCTTCTTGGATGCATTGGGAGGTTGGGCTACACGACATTTGCATTGTGGATTGCTATGTAATTTCATTTAATCAAATCTGGACGCCATGGTGGTCCATGAGGGGTTTAGTCATCTCAACTTCTTTAAAGTAAGACAGAATGAGGATCAGACATCGGACCTCCAGTTCAACGTGAACCTATGAAGGTTTTATCCCAGCCCTGATCCTTTGAGGGTTCATGTTGAACTATACAACTTTATTCCTCTCACTGTGTTCTTTTCTTCTGACGGTTGCGTAATTTTTGATCTGCACGAGGTTAAAGTGGAAGAAAAAAACTGCTGGGAATGTTTGCATAAAAAACAAAAAGCATTGAATTAAGAGCTGGCTCCAAACATTGATGATAGGAAACAGAAGTTTTAAGCAGCTCAGCAATGTTCTCGTATTGTGCTTACACTTGTTTGTTATCCTGACCAATAGAGTCGTCACGGACGTGTTGAGCCCGAATGACCGTTTCCCCCACTGATGAGCACTGCTTGTTCTGTCAGCACTCTTCTCTGTTAGCATCGTTAGGATTGCACGAGATGCCGACTCGCCTTCGCCATGTTGAGGGCTGTTGAGAGGCAGAATAAAATGCTTTGAATCTCATATCTGGAACTTTGAAAATAAGAGGACGAGATAAGGGGGAACCTCCTCAACATTTATTAGACTGACTGGGCTTCAGTCCTCAGAACTACTCAGTGCAAGAGAAGCGAGGATGCTCCTGTGATATGCAAATAAATCAAACCTTGCAAAGAACTGATTTGCTTCATCTACATTGATCCCATCACCACCAAGCTGGGTCCCATAACCAGTAATAGATTTCATTATGTTCCAAAGGCCCTTTATGTTACTTTCGGACATCTGTCCTTCAACTCTGTACACGTACCCTGTTACTCTGGAAATGGTCTCTGTGGCCAGCTTTCCATTACCCATTGATGGAATATAAACAACTTGAACAATCCCTGGGCAAATAATACGTTCGGCAAGTTATCGCGAGCAGCTCAATGTTTGGGTCTCTCACCGTGACATGTCTAGCCTGACACCATCGGTCATTGACGTAAAGGCAAAAACCTCCACCTTGATGTCTCTGTCCATCCTGTGTACTGAAAATCCCTCCTACACATGGGACTCTTGTCCTCTACCGTATCAGACAGCCAGGGCCCGGTCAAACAAATCAGGCTGCTCTGTCGGAAATGCCGATCGTACCTCAGGTAGCTCATCCATGTTATTGAGATCGGGCATTCATAACAGCAGAGGGTAACAAAGGTTCGTACCCCTGTCGACTGTTCCTAAACCGGCCTGCGCCTCTGTGGCCTCTCTTCCTGGTTCTGGGCCTTGTGTCCGACAAATCCAGGTCAGGGTTCTGTCCACTTGATGCAGGAAGCCGGGACTGAAGAACCTTGTGCCGACTATAGGAGATTAAAAGTGGGGGCAATTCGCTCCTGACTTGAAATGTTCAGGCGACTCTCCAGAAAAGTGTAAGACAGGGCGACAGAAGGAGAAATAAAGTGTGATTGTGGCAGCCATTGTTTCGTCTTGGAGATCTGATCACACTGGTGATCATAAATCAGAAAGTATAAAAAAGCATAACAAGTAAATAAAATAAGACATAAAAACCCAAATAATTCACAGACAAACAGGTGACCGATTTGCCAGAAAGGGGGTGGCGCCACAAATGTGTACAAGACAACTGTTTTTGGTGAGATGGTTTTGCTAAAATGTATCTGATGTTAGAGAATGGATACGATTTAGTTTTCAATATCAAAGTTGATGCATAAAATATTGATAGTTAAAGCCTTTGTCATCTATGAATACAAAGTCAGTGGCCTTCTCTGATTGCATGGGGAGTTTTTGCACTGAGTTGAATGTTTCTTCTGCATTGGGGACTGCTGGTCCCTGTGCAGGACATCAACAATAGACTGATGTCCTGGGGATACACGGATGATGTAGCGGACCAATGACATTAAGGCTTAACCTTCTTGTTTACTGTGTAGTTACATCAGCAGATCGTCAGCGTCAATAACGTGGAAATCCCATGTGAATTAATGGAACACATCATGTTGTCTCTGAGGAAATGAGTTGGCTCAAGTCCTAAGTGTCACAGGCCAGTCAACAACATATTTTTTCCTCAAGTACTGTAGCTAAACCAATCACTTTTAAATATAACTAAAAATATAACTACCATTCATAGTATGATTTATCCTCTAAACAGGCCTCAAATATCTTCTTTGGCTCGGCAGAGAGCTAACTGGAATCTGAAAAAGAATATCCATGTTCATTTTCTATGGTGGCCTTTACTATTAGATAGAACAGTAAAAAGGAAGTTAGATCATGCCATTAAACGTATGCTTATGCGGTCCATCAGCTAAACAGATAACGTACAATAACGTACGATACAGACCATATGAACTGTGACTCTGAAGCCCCAAGCAAGACCCAAAGCACAAACGGTTTTACAGTAAGGCCTGATACTCGGTCACTGTTCAAAAAGGTACTGCATGGCATTAAGGTCAGAGGTCAGGACAGGCCAGTCCGTACAGTGTACGGCTATATCAGTTATTTCTTTGCATGTAAAGACTTTCCTTTTGTTTTAATTTGATACCTTTTTTGTTTTCTTTGGTACTTCTATTTGCATCTATTTTTTTGTTTGCTTGTGGTTGTTTCCATTTTCCCGAATATCTTCATCATGCTTCACAATCAGGTTAATATCCAACCATGAATCAGAAAACATGTTTTCTCAAAACAAACCTTGAATGGTGAAAAAAAAGTAGTTCAGAAGCACATAGAAGGCAATAATATTCAATGATGGCCAGAGGTGAATTAGATGAAGGGAATGAAAGACATAATAATATTTCACCCTTATCTCGACTTCTTATTTTCAGGGTTCCAGATACGAGATTCAAAGCATTTTATTCTGCCTCTCTCAAGGCGAGCCGGCACCTTGTGCAATGCTAACGATGCTAAGAGGGTTGAGTCCTGACAGAACTAGCAGCGCTCATCAGTGGGGGAAACGGTTGTGGGGCTCAACACTTCCGGGACGACGCTATCGGTCAGGATGACTTTATCAAACGTAAGCGCCATATGAGAGTACTGCTGAGCCTCATGTAAATTTATTTTTTATTTTTTATTTATATTAGCTGATTGGTGCAGTCTGACAGGACCTGATGGTATTCAGGTCTTACAATGGACATTTTGGGAACCTCCCTTGCAGCCCCTCCCTTACATGAGCCCCCCTTTCAACCCCCTTTCTAACTTTGCCTTACCCCCCCCTCCCCCCTAGTTCTAACCATGCCCCCCAAGCCTTCTTATCTAAATCCCACCCTCACAGTACCCCCCTTACTGCTTACTTACAGCCCCCTCCCTTTAAACTCATCAGAGGGGGAAACTTTAAACTCTTCCCCCCTCACAGATGCCCTCCTCCCTCCCCTATCTAACCCTGCCTCTCCTCCCCCCACCCACTCCCCAAAACAAATCCCTTCTAACCCCCCCCCCTCAATAACCCTGTCCGTTTCACTTAACAAACGATTCATGAAAGGAAGGAAACATATAAGTTACACATATTCTGCTGTATATTGGGGGGGGGACATATTGGTATTTTCTCAATATTGGGGGGCACACGACCCCCCCAAAGGATACGCCCTTGCCACATACTGTACTTCAGGCAGTCTGAAAATTTCTGAGGAATTTTCTAGTTCAATTATTATTGTTTTCTATGCATAAATTCCCAGAAGGTCTTCCACTTTTACCTCCTGCAGATCAAAACAGAATCAAAAAGGTAACGTAGAGGACAGAAGAAAAAAGTTGATGTATTTTCTCTACCCCATCAAAAAGGTTCTGCATGGGTTTGAGGTCAGAGGTCACGAGTAGATACATTTTTTTCATGTATTGACAGGCCTAAAACGTTCTCTATTGAGTCTGGTGCCGTATTGTTACTTGTATGTTTGACACTTTTTTGGTATTTGTTAGGTACAAAGTGAAACACTGCGCATAAACGGATCAGTGTGGTTCTAAAGGAACACATGACATGTAACGGTGATCTTGAATGGTGCTTCATTAAAGCTATAACCATATCCGGTTGTCTCTGAAGTTACCGATTTAGCACTACTAACTGGAGTAAATAAAACTATTTGTCAGCTTTTTTAGACTTTTTCTAAAATCTGTCAAACTAAACCCATACAAGCAAATCATCCCAATAGTTTAGTTTGCTATTTTTGTACCTTTTCTCCTTGACTACTGTACTTCTCCTCAATCACTGTTTTTACGCATCATCTTCAGTTTACTCTTATTGAAGAGTATGACTCTAAACAGGGTTCAAAATATCTTCTTTGGCTCTGCAGTTAGCTAACCAGAATCTGAAAAAGAATATCCATGTTGATTTTCTATGGTGAGCAGAACTATCAGATAGAAGAGTAAAAAGGAAGTTAGACTATGCCATTAAATATTTGCTTATGCGGTCCAACAGCTAAACATATTGCTCCCACGACTCTGAAGAACCAAACAAGGTCCAAAGCACACAAGGTTTTACAGTAAGGCCTGATACCTGGTCATTGTTCCACCTCATCTAAAACGTTTTGCATGGGTTTGAGGTCAGAGGTCACGACAGGCGAGTCCAGACAGTGTACGGCTATATCAATTATTTCTTTGCATGTGGTGAATTTCCTTTTCTGTTTTATTTGATGCCTTTTTTATTTTCTTTGGTACGTTTTGGTACTATTTGCATGAATTTTCTTGCTTTTGTCTGTTTTGCTTTCCTGAATATCAGCTGTCATGAATTTTCCGATTCCGATGTCTCGTCCTCATTCAGTCTTACTTTAAAGAAGATAAGATGACTAAACCCCTCATGGGCCACCATCGCGTCCATATTTGAGGATATGAAATTACACAGCAATCCATTCTGCAAATGTTGTGTAGCCCAACCCCTTCAATGCATCCAAGAAGAGTATAAAGATCAGCAGAGGTTCTTGTTCAGCTGGGAGGGTCGCAGCAACGGACCGGAGGCTTTCATACTTGGTAGATACCTTGAGTGTAAAATGTGACTTTATGTTGGTATATTGTTTCTAATTGTTGTGTGAATACTGATATCTACCCTTAAATGTTTTCACAGGTGACTGAGAAGACAGGTATCTGTATCAATTATGAGCCACAAAGGCAATGTTATAGACCAGAATCCATTTGGCTTTGTTACTTTGACCAGTGTGGTGGAACTCAGTGTGGTGCTGGTTTACTCTGGTATGCAGAGATCATTGTTTACATGTATCTCAGTTTATGAGGACAATATTTTGGGACAAAATTCAAACAAATGAGAATATTTTGTGATTCATTTAAATGCAGGTAGAATATTGATTTGAGGCATTATAGAAAAGGATAACAGATAACACTTTTACTGAGCCATCGTTGCTGCTACATCCTCTATGACTCATTTTGTTGCACGCATAGTGCTCATCAAAGAAATGGAGAACTCCACTGAGGTTGTGTCTTTTGTGCTGTCTGCTTATGGTAACATTGGAAACTTAAAGTACCTGTATTTTAGCATAGTACTATTATGGTACATCTCTGTTTGTGTGTCAAATACAATTCTTGTTGTGGTCATATATGTGGACAGAGGATTGCATGAGCCGATGTATATATTATTAGGTAATTTGTTTATGAATGAAATATATGTAAGCACATCACTATATCCTCTTCTGCTCTCACAGATGTTGTCAGATACACATGAAGTGACGTTGTCATGGTGTTTTCTGCAGATGTTTTGTTTCTACATATTTGGTTGTGTCCAGTTATGCAGTTTAACAGCTATGGCCTATGACAGATATGTCTGTATCTGTTATCCTTTACAATACAATGTTGTTATGAGCAACAAGAGAGTAGGTAAGATCATTCTGCTTGTTTGGATTTATTCATTTACTAGTTATATGTTCTCATTTTCATTCATCATCCCTTTGACATTTTGTGGAAATGTCATTGACAAAGTGTTTTGTGACCAACAGTTAGTTATTAAACTTGCATGTTCAGTCTCAGCACTTACCAGCATATCTGACCTGTTTTTTGCCTTTATGAGTTTGATGATCCCATTTAGTCTCATTTCAGTCTCTTACATGAAGATTTTGTGGGTTTGTCTAATTGTGTCAAAAGAAAGCAAACAAAAAGTCATAACAACCTGCACACCTCAGATTGTATCATTGTCAAACATTTTTGTCTACGCCACTTTTCAATTTGTGGGGTCAAGGCTGGATATTCGCTATTTACCAGAAGTGCGTGTTATTTTATCCATATATATCCATATACTTCAACCAATGATCACCCCTTTTATGTACGGACTTTACCTGCCCAAAATAAGACAATCATGTAAAAGACTTCTGTTTGATAGAAAATAAATATGTTTATATTTATATTTTATATTTAACACTGTGATTACTGTTCTTTGATGTAACTGTCTCATCATTAAAAAATGTTTCTCTTAATGTGGCACGTATGTATTTCGAGTGAGGAGAGTTATATCATCTCTGAGGAAAAGTTTTATTCTGCAGTTTTAAATGTCTTTTCTCCCATCAACCTTGATCAACTGACTTCAACAGTTTTTATTTGATGACTTTTAAGAAGTTATTACAGTCCTGCTGTAACAACAAGCACACTATCACATGTATTGATAGAATTTGCCACCAGATGTCAGAATCAGACCGGATTGTAAATGTGAGAGAACTCCTCACATCAGGACCCTTTAAAGGTCAGAGGGAGAATGACTACATGTTAAACACAGTCGCATGTTTCTTCTGCCTTAGTACTGCTGGTCCCAGTGCCCCAGTTGTCTCTGAAGTTACCGATTTAGCACTACTAACTGGAATAAATAAAACTATTTGTCAGCTTTTTTAGACTTTTTCTAAAATCTGTCAAACTAAACCCATACAAGCAAATCATCCCAATAGTTTAGTTTGCTATTTTTGTACCTTTTCTCCTTGACTACTGTACTTCTCCTCAATCACTGTTTTTACGCATCATCTTCAGTTTACTCTTATTGAAGAGTATGACTCTAAACAGGGTTCAAAATATATTCTTTGGCTCTGCAGTTAGCTAACCAGAATCTGAAAAAGAATATCCATGTTGATTTTCTATGGTGACCAGAACTATCAGATAGAAGAGTAAAAAGGAAGTTAGACTATGCCATTAAATATTTGCTTATGCGGTCCAACAGCTAAACATATTGCTCCCACGACTCTGAAGAACCAAACAAGGTCCAAAGCACACAAGGTTTTACAGTAAGGCCTGATACCTGGTCATTGTTCCACCTCATCTAAAACGTTTTGCATGGGTTTGAGGTCAGAGGTCACGACAGGCGAGTCCATACAGTGTACGGCTATATCAATTATTTCTTTGCATGTGGTGAATTTCCTTTTCTGTTTTATTTGATGCCTTTTTTATTTTCTTTGGTACGTATTGGTACTATTTGCATGTATTTTCTTGCTTTTGTCTGTTTTGCTTTCCTGAATATCAGCTGTCATGAATTTTCCGATTCCGATGTCTCGTCCTCATTCAGTCTTACTTTAAAGAAGATAAGATGACTAAACCCCTCATGGACCACCATTGCGTCCATATTTGAGTATATGAAATTACACAGCAATCCATTCTGCAAATGTTGTGTAGCCCAACCCTCCAATGCATCCAAGAAGAGTATAAAGATCAGCAGAGGTTCTTGTTCAGTTGGGAGGGTCGCAGCAACGGACCGGAGGCTTTCATACTTCGTAGATACCTTGAGTGTAAGATGTGACTTTATGTTGGTATATTGTTTGCTAATTGTTGTGTGAATACTGATATCTACCCTCAAATTTTTCACAGGTGACTGAGAGGACAGGTATCTGTATCATTTATGAGCCACAAAGGCAATGTTATAGACCCGAATCCATTTGGCTTTGTTACTTTGACCAGTGTGGTGGAACTCAGTGTGGTTCTGTTTTTTTCAGGTATGCAGAGATCATAATTCAGATTTATCTCCGTTGACAATATTTTTGGACAAGATTCAAACTACTAAGCTTATTTTGTGATTCTTTGTTTCTGTACTCTTGAATGTAACAGACAAGAAAAGCCCCTTTATGTGTTTGCCTTCCTCACATTACGATTATAAGAATATTTAAATGCAGCTAGAATATTGATTTGAGGCATTATTGAAAAGGATAACAGAAAACACTTTTACTGAGCCATCGTTGCTGCTACATCCTCTATGACTCACTTTGTTGCACGCATCGTGTTCATCAAAGAAATGGAGAACTCCACTGAGGTTGTGTTTTTTGTGCTGTCTGCTTATGGTGATATTGGAAACTTAAAGTACCTGTATTTCAGCATAATGTTATTATGGTACATCTCCATTTGTGCGACCAACACAATTCTTGTTGTGGTCATATATGTGGACAGAGGATTGCATGAGCCGATGTATTTATTATTATGTCATTTGTTTATGAATGAAATAAGTACAAGTATGTCACTATATCCTCTCCTGCTCTCACAGATGTTTTCAGATACACATGAAGTGACGTTGCCGTGGTGTTTTCTGCAGATGTTTTGTATCTACACATGTAGTTGTGTTGAGTTATGCAGTTTAACAGCTATGGCCTATGACAGATATGTCTGTATCTGTTATCCTTTACACTACAATGTTATTATGAGCAACAAGAGAGTAGGTAAGATCATTCTGCTTGTTTGGATTTATTCATTTACTAGCTATATGTTCTCATTTTCATTTGTCATCCCTTTGACATTTTGTGGAAATGTCATTGACAAAGTGTTTTGTGACCAACAGTTAGTAATTAAACTTGCATGTTCAGTCTCAGCACTTACCAGCATATCTGACCTGTTTTTTGCCTTTATCAGTGTGGTTATCCCGTTTTGTTTCATTTCAGTCTCTTATGTAAAGATTTTGTTGGTTTGTCTAAAGGGATCCAAAGAAAGCAAACAAAAAGTATTAACGACCTGCACACCTCAGATTGTGTCACTGTCAAACATATTTGTCGGCGGCATTTTTTATTATGTGGAGTCCAGGTTCGATGGGGCATATGCACCAGATGGAGTGCACATTATTTCATCCATATATCTTCAAATACTTCAACCAATGATCACTCCCTTTATGTACGGATTTTACCTACCCAAAATAAGACAATCGTGTAAAAGACTTCTGTTCAATAGAAAATAAATATGTTGGATACTGCACACTGTGATGTAAATTTATTATAATTATTTTCTCTACCATGAAAAAAGCTGAATGTTAATGTACCAGGATGATTGATATAAAGTTAATTCAGGCCTACTGTAACAGCAAGCAGACATTGTTGAAAGATTTTTATTACCTGCTTCATGTATCATTAGCTTTCTCCACCAGAGGTCACCATCAGACTGTTTGAGAACTCCTTCCATCAATGCTGTTCAAATGGGGGGGAGGTGGTCCTGTATGTTGGAAAACAAAAGTTACATTCAGCATTTTCAGCGGATTTTCTGATGATGATTTTTCACCCTGGCCACTGTTAAAGACTTTGAGGTTGTTGAGTCAGAGAGCAGCACTCGTGAAGTGTGACGCCCTCTGTGATTAACTTTGAAGTGAGTGAGTTTTGTAGCTCAGCAGCGATAAAAGTTTTTCTTTCTTAAAATTGAGTCTGGCCATTGAGAAAACAATGTAAAGTGAAATGAATGTAGCAGGGCGATTGATTTAAAGTGAATAAAGGTAGGCAGGCAGATTGATGCACATGTTTATACATTTTGCTACTACAGCTTATTTATTAAATGTAACTTTTGCGTATCTACATTAGTACATTTAAAACGAGGTGCTCTTGCACATTGTCAGAATAATCTTCCCTCTTTTCCCCAAAGAATTAACCATTTATGGCGTTTTGTTTGCCGGGCAGCAGAGGATGCTGCAGTATCACAAACTAACACAATATGTTCCAAAATCTAGCACAGGAATTTTACAGGTCTGGAGCAAACAAACACCTTTTGTTCAATATTGGTGTTTACATAAGAAGTGTTGGTATGCTCAACTCTCACCTTGCAACAGATGTTCGACATGTAAACAGCATCACATGTCCAACTATTCCCAGGTCGGTTGCTCTTTGAACGGAAGAGGGTGAGGAGGTTTTGACAACATGTTTTCACATTTACACAATATGGCCCGTGGTGACGGCTGCAATGAGATCTGTTGTATGTGCGGACACAAGCAGCCAATCCAGCTGAATCTGATTGTGAGGACAGCGCAGGCGGTGGAGAGTATCAAGTTGTTATCGGTAGCTTCCAGGACTGTAGGACTTGTTGTTCACTTCTTGGCTAATTGAGCTGCTTAAGCAGCATCACAATGCGGCCTGTGTGTGTCACTGGTAATGTCTTCGAAGTCATGTGTCCGGGCCATGAATGAGAGGTATCATCAACGTTTAGGTGGTAGGCGAAAGCACTTAAAAAGGGACAAACATGTTTTTTAGGTGGGGCATTATTTAACAATAAATAATAGGCATATGTTGAGAAAACAATGTGAAGTGACGGTCTCCCCATCGTACAAGCGGCTCCATCATGTACGAGTTCATTTCTGCACACAAACCACAGGGATCAATGCATTACAAACCGTATCGCTTTTATTCAAACTGTACACATACAACAGGCTTATTTCTTTAAAAAAAAAAAAAAGACAAAAATGAATATTCCCATAAATACAATATGCCTTTAAAAACAGAGTCTGTGTTATCTTGGTAGGTCGCATATGTTCCAATGAGACAAAAAAAAAAAAAATAACACACACACACACACACACACTTGTAATCCTTCTGAAAACTTGGTACAAAACAAACCCATCTGTCTGGTGTCACTGACACCGTCAGATCTTTGCTGCCGGAAGGCAATTACAAAGAATAATGTGGTACTGTTTCCTTAAAACATGGACGAGAGATGTAAGAGTGTCTCAAGCCTATGTACTAACTTTAACCAGGGTGGAGGTATGTAGTGCATTCACGTGGGAAATGTGACAGTTTTTGTATACAAACTGCTGTAACAGTATAACATTTGGTACTTAGGGTATATATCTAGTATTAGTATTCTTGGATTCAAGACAGAGCGTTGGTAGATAAAACAAACCTAAAATAGCAGGTCTAATAGGCCATTATGTTGTGAGTTTACCCTGATTGCTGCTAGAGGTCTGAACTCATCATTTGCAGGTGACGTACGAAGAGAACTTGTGCTGTACAACAAGAAAAGGAACAATATGCCACCATCAGTCGGGAAAAAAACATGACTTTTCTGCACTCGTCGTTTTCCTACTTGAATGTCGAGGGTTACGGGTGCTCATAAATTTGAAGAAAAAACATTAAGATTAAAAAAAACAAAATCTTAGTTTAGGTTTACCCTTGCTTAATTTGATAAAAAAATGAAGTGGTCACTAGGCAATGTGGGTGTTCCATTTCATCAACAGTTCTGTAGTAATATATTGGTATATCACCTCCGTATGTTCGGTTCCAGAGAACGCTCCACATCTGCCGAATACAACACATTCTCGCTTTCCAAATAAAAAATATTCCCACACGGTTGTGGACTTTGACCTCCTTCCTAGTGTTTTCACAACTAAGAACATCAAACATCAGTTCGGTTTGCAGAAGCAAAAAAAAAAAGTCCATACAATGCTGTTTGACAAAAAAAAAAAAAGATTCACTAAAAAGTCTTTGTTGCAAGTGAAATCATAGAAAGGGGATGGGGGCAGATACACAGGCCTGAATGTGTACAGTCATCTTTATCCAGGATAAAATAACATTAAAATCCTGAGCAACCATTTCCACTGTGTGTGTCCTTGAAATGGTGCTGTGGATGTCTTAAAAGCTTAAAAGTATTTTGGATGGAAGGATCCAACAGTCGAGAGACCACACACTGAGACAAACAATGAGCTGTTGTGTCTTCATTGCAGGCCTCTGTGTGTGTGTGTGTGTGTGTGTGGTCTCTTTAACAGTTTGAATCAGTCATTTTTAACACTTGTTACCTTTAGCTGTGCAAACCAATACATAACTTCATTCACCTTCGGAGTGAACATTCAATACAAATACTCGACAGTCTGAAAAAAATAAAGAAAAGAAGAAATAAAAGTTTGGATTTCTAGGCAGCCACTTGACACATGATGGCGTGGAGTCACGAGTTTATGGATCATTTCTCAGCGAGATTATACTCAGACTTCTCACACACACATTAAAGCATTTCTGTCTCAAGCTGAAATTTCTCAAGGGAGAATTTAAAAAAAAAAAAGGTAAAATCCAGGTGTTTGTATTGAGTGAATTCAGTCAGTGGCGGCTGTAGGGACCCACAACCTCTGACCTATTTGCTGCAGCATGGACAGAAGGCCACACTTGGACACATCAGTCTTTTCTGTTGGGGTGAGAAACTCACCGGAGTGGACAGGAAGTTAACGTTACATTAAAATTGTGATACTGAGGATATAATCTATAATAATAGGAAGTTTCATATCAAAAGGAACCTCACCAGTCAGGCATTAGAGTCCATGAACCAGTATGGTCATTTGCATCAGTTTGTGATCCAAAAAATATAAAAGCCAGTATTGTGGGCTGTCTGATGATGACTATAGAAATATAAAATGAAAAAAAAAAATCCAACTTCTATCGAATATAGATCAAAGTTTGGTTGTGTGACCAGAAGCCTGAAACGCTGTCACAACTGAGAAAAAAAAATTAAAATGAAATGTCCAAAATAGTAATAAAAGCTATTTGACCTAATTTACATGGTTTTTAAATCCAAAACACCGTTTTCTTTGTGCCCTTTCCCCCTCGAATCTTTACACCGTCGTCTCCCCGTGGTTACCGTTGCTAAGGCGCTTGTAGAACCTCCGCCAGGATTGAAGAGTCTTCCCAGACCAGACCCAGAAACCCGAGGTGATCCCGACTATCATGGTCATCAGGTACTTGATCATGAACACGGTGAAGTCCGGAGTCATGGGGGCGAAGTTGTGAACCGGGCAGGGTACAGCGAACCGCTTGCAGGTCTGCATGTGCCAGGTCCGCTGCCAGTGCTCCCTGAAGGCCTGCTCGTAGAAGTAACAGGCGATCACTATGGTGGCCGGGACCGTGTACAGCACGCTGAACACCCCGATCCGCACCATCAGCTTCTCCAGCTTCTCCGTCTTGGTGCCGTCGTGCTTCATGATGGTACGGATCCGGAACAGGGACACGAAGCCGGCCAGGAGGAAGGACGTGCCGATGAACAGGTAGACAAAAAGCGGCGCCAGGACGAAGCCGCGCAGGGCGTCCACGTTGAAGATCCCGACGAAACACACCCCGGTCAGGACGTCGCCGTCCACCCGGCCCATGGCGAGGATGGTAATGGTTTTGATGGCCGGGACGGCCCACGCGGCCAAGTGGAAGTACTGGGAGTTGGCTTCGATCGCCTCGTGGCCCCATTTCATTCCGGCAGAGAGGAACCAGGTCAGGGACAGAATCACCCACCAGATGGAGCTGGCCATGCCAAAAAAGTACAACACCATGAAGAGGATGGTGCAGCCCTCCTTTTTAGTCCCCTGGGCCACCGTTCTGTAGCTGTCCTCTCTGTATTTATCCACGCAGGCAACTTTGTCCTCCAGGAAAAAGCCGGCAGCGTAGGCCACCGCCACCATGAAATAACAGCCGGATAGGAAGATGATGGGCCTCTCGGGGTATCTGAACCGCCTCATGTCGACTAGATAGGTGAGCACCGTGAACAAGGTGCTCACGCAGCACAAAATGGACCAGATTCCAACCCACAACCGGCCGAATTTCACCTCATCCTCCTGGAAATACATAATGCCGGTGGGTTTGGTGGGCTCGCACGGGGCCCCGCAGTTGTTGGCCCCCATGAATCGGTAGCCCAGGTAGGGAAGCACTTCCAACTGCAGTGGGCAGGAGAACTGGTGGTACTGGTTGTTTTGAGGAGGGCGTGGGTTGGGTCGGTCAATGCTTGGGGGGAGGGTGACCGGTTCTGGTGCAAAGGGTGAGGACGAGGACGGGCTGCTGGGTTCCGATGTGTTCTGGCCGACGCAGATCTCGCCGGCTCCGTGGACGGGGAACGCCTCGCAGCGGAGCCTCTCCGGCCACTGGAAGCCAAACTTGTTCATGAGGGCTTCACAGCCCTGGCGTGCGCGCTCACACAGGGTCCGACACGGGGGGATGGCCTGCTCCAGTACCGTGCAGACGGGCGCGTACATGGAGCAGAGGAAGAACTTGAGGTCCGCGGAACACTGCACCTTAACCAGCGGGTAGAACTGGTGCACCTCGAGCCCGGCGTCCTCCTGGTTCGTGTGGCCCAGGAGGTTCGGCATGATGGTCTGGTTGTAGGCGATGTCGGTGCAAAGCGGGATGGAGATGGGTTGGCAGAACCCGTGTTCCGGGACAGATATTCCGTGGTCGTTGTTGTAATTCTGTGCAGAAGTGGACGACAGGGACAGCCCGCACGCCAGCCACATGAGCCGCAGTAACACGGAGCCAGCGGTGGACCTGGCCGCCGCCATAGTTGAAAAGGAGAAGGGGGGGAGGGAAGGAAAAACTTTGATCCGAGTGGGGCAACTTGAAAAAGGGGGGGTTTTTTTGTTAAAAGAGCGAGGAATCTACGTAAAATGTCGCAAAACTTTGCGTGTGGTCCGAGCACTTCGAGTTTAAAATGCCGGTAGCAGTCTTTTCCTCGTGTTTTATGAGCATAAATCCGAGCGAAGCGTCCCCCGTGTCATGACTTCTTGATGGTCTTTGTAAGTGACTCCAAGCAGCCCACTCTGAATCCCGACCCGGTGAAAAAACACTCAAGAGTCCAGTTTTCTTCAAGTTCTGCCAAACCAAAGTTATTCCAGCGAGTTCGACGCGTAATCAAAGTTACATTAGCGCAAAATAAGGCACGTTCTAAACTTAAAAATGATTAAATTTCCGTCGCTTTTCGACTTGACTTCCAACAGACCGTTGGTTCACATGCTGAGCAGTTGGAAGTCCAGAGGCTCGCTCTCCTCACTGCGCGTGGATTCCACCGGTTTTCAGGCACCCCCTTCATTCACAAGACCTTCCAGCAGAACGCAGGGCGCCTTGAAACCGCGTCTCAGCCAATCACAGCGTTTGTTTTCCTTAAGGACTCGTTCTTGATTGGCCTTTACTCCCTTTAGGAGGAAAATGTGTTACAATAATTAAATTACACCACAGACCTAACAAAATAAATAATACGTAAATAATACACATATCTCTTTTATAATATACATATATATATATATATATATATATATATATATATATATATATATATATATATATATATATTTTCTTTTCTGGCTATTTAAAAAAAATCCTGCAGTGCTTTTCAGTTCTTACATTTCACTGATGACACATACAAATAGAAACGTACATTTCTTGGATTTATTCAAAATGCTTAAAGGATGTAAATCCCAAATAGCAATAGGCGTATAAGACAAATTTTTCTTGCAATTATTTTTTTCTTATTTATTTTCCTTACTTTTACAGAGTTCTACTGCTTACTCTTTGTCAGTTCTGCTGCAGCTGAACATTTTAAAAATCATACAAAACAATTTACTGTTACTTTGGATCAGCTTTTTGCCCATAAACACTATCTCGGTGTGCAGCTGGTAAATTGAGGTCTCTACGGAATCTGTAGACACACACACAGTCGCTCACTGTGTTCTGGACATGTAAACACATTGCAGCGCGGCGAGCAAACCATGAAAAAAACTAAATGGAATCCAGCGTCTTATTCACTCGACCACAGCAAGCACTGCAGTAACCTGTTGCTGTTTACTGCCAAAGGGTTTCATTGCAAACAATCAGATGCGGCTCCTGCATTGATGTGTATCATTGTGAGAATCAACAGTCAAAGCAGCAGTAAATTGGATTGACAGCATGATCAATCTGCCCACAGGCAACCAAGTGTGGGAGGTGTAGAAGGGTTCCTGGTGGCCTCGCTGCATTTGGTGTGTTTCTACCCTGAGTGGGATAAAAGAGGGTGGGGGTTGGGTCGGGTGGGGGAAGGGACAGGAAGAAGAGAGAAGGTCGAAGAGGGCAGGGTGGGGAAAAGAGAAGCAGAGAGAGCAGTAAGAGAAGCTAAACCAAAAGGAAAAGAGTTCCCCGCTGTAAACTGGCCTACAAAAAGAGAAAGCAAGTTAGATTGAAATGGGCTAGTAGGTCAATATGGATTTCTGACCCCCCCCCCGAACATTGGTATTAATCAAGAAGCGTATTCAGGCAAAATGCTTTGCGCTGCCTGTGACACGGTCGACCACAAAACAACTAAAAAGGTTAGAAAAGTTGTTGGTCGTTCAAAGAATGTCCCACGGAGACTACTTTCTCTTTTTCACATTACCCAATGTTTTCACATTGTTGTTCTATGCATTGTTGTAAAAACAGTCATTGTGCTCTTATCCCTTAAAAAGTAGATCAAACTATTTTCTATAATCTCTGCCCTTTTGTATGCATGTTAAGTACTCACCATTATCCACCCTGCATTTATGTTTGTCTCTTTTTTGTATCACAGAATAATAAAAATGCAGACGGATGCAGGCCTGTTTTTACTGAGGGGTTTTGTAGAATACACAGACACACAGCTGCAGGGGGGGTCAGATATTTGACCTCTGTGTCAAAGTATGCTAAGAAAAGGCACTTTGATTACATGCATCGGAGCCAGATGACAAACACACACAGACTATAGCTGGGAGCTGGAGATACCTCAATTATCAGTCCTAGGGAACAATTTGCTGGCCGCTGCCTCTGATAAGAGGATTGGTTCCACTTGTTGGATTAAGCCTCGGTCCAAGGAGCTGATGGGCTGCTACGTGATCATTTAAGATTCTGGCTATTAAAGGTATCAATTAAGAATGTTATTTGTACAGGGATTTCCCAAGAGGACATTGGACAAATCGGCATCTGAATGTCACAGCCAGTGGTGTTTGACACAAAGGAAGGGGTTTAAATGTCCTGGTAGGTGGATGGGTAGTTTTTGAAGGCGCCCCAAAAGACAATAAAGACTCACAAAATAACCAACTTGACCTCATTCATAAAATAGGATTCCCATGTTTCCCAAAATCTCCCTATTTATCCCAATATGGGAAATAAGAGTATGAGTACATTCATATTCAATGTAAATTATGATAGTATTTATACTATAACCGCAAATGAGGAAAATGTCAAAAAATATAGTTAGAGAAACATCCATCTTAATTGGAGCTTCATAATTAAAAATGACCGGCTATTTGGTGACCATTCGATGATTTAAACCTTGCCGTTTGCAATAACAATGAATTTCACAAATATACCTGCAATGCATGTTAACACATGCACTTCGTCCAAAATCACATTGATAATGGAGACGAGGTGAAGGTGTTTAACCAGAAATTGCTTTGATCTTCCTCCCTCACACTGGTGTTTATCCCTGTGGTGTAAAACACAGCAGTTAGTAGCCCCGTCAGGTCAAATGGACGCACTCCGCCGCGTTGAACTGAAGCCGTTTGTTTGTGTGTGTGCGTATTTATGTGGATAGTGTCTGCAGTGGTCAAGCAGATGTGGGAAGTCCAGCAGGTTTCCAGACAGTCAGTCACTGTTTGGACTGTGGTCTGCTGCAGCTGGACATCTGCTGCAGGAGCGTGTGTGTGTGTGTGGGGGGGTGTTACACAAACAACAACTAGATTTACAGTAGACCAAGGTGAAATAAATAAAACAAAAAAGATGTTGAGGGTTCGGACTGTGCTTGCTCAGTTCAATGATAGCCAGTGGCATGACCGCCATCTAAAGTATGTGAGCTACCATGTGAAACCCAATACTGAGCAACTATTTAGGTGTGGAGTCGAGGTGGAAACACACAGGCTTTTTGTTTGGACTGAGGAGGATTTCAAATTTGAGGACGGCTCACAGGACGTGTTGGCTGACCAAGTTGGTCTAACCAGCGTTAAGTGTTTTTTAGGAGCGAGCTAAAAAAAAGAAGTTGCACCATGGCAGACCAGTTCATGCATTTATCCTTATGTGTGTTTAATATCTCTGTAAGTTATATGGCTGTCAACTTTTTGTTGTTGGTTTTGAAGCTATAGAAACTACATTCTGGATCTAGTGTATTGTAAACCTGCGAAGCCTGGAAATCTATTCATCTATTCGTATGAAAAGTCTCCAGGCGTAATTAGCAGATAAAGAAGAAAATCTTTCTGTCGGGAAATGACGAGCGAACCCGAGTTAAAAGGACGATAACGGAATTGGGTTTGCATTCCACTTGTGGACCCGAGATAAAACGCATGCTAGATTTGTTCCATATGTGCTTGATCTATAAACAGGATATTGCATGCTAACAGGTTTGTGAGATTAACTAAAAGGTGACGATAATGTCGGCCATAATCAACAGCAGGTTTAATCCAAAAATGAGCGTACAATCCCCCACCCAAAAACTCCAGTGGTACAGAAACTGATAACTATCAAGGTGAGACTTAACCCTCAGGGCAGGTATTCGTGACAACAACAATGGAGGAAATGAGAAATAGACCAGACAACTGAAGCTAACGGAACGTGGTGGGAGAAGCCGTCGGATTGGCTCAGGAGGACTTTTTCCCTTAGTTCCTTAAAACTCACGACAGACTCATCTTTAATATATAAAATGTTAAAGAATGCCGCAAAAGGTGCGACGGTTTCGACTCGACTCTTATTACTATATGTTTCTTTATTAAGCTGTCTCCTGCCTGGTTTCCTCATGTGTGTCTCAGTTATGGGTTGGTATATATAGCATCATAGAAGTATGTGTGGGACACTCGTCTGAATGGGGGGAGGGGAGATCGCCCTTAAGAAGTCAGTGCAGAGAGAGAGAGGAATGCAGGCAGCTGGTTTGTGTCTGTCAGTGCAACACAGAGAGCCTACAGTACTGGACCACATACGCACGCACACACACACACACACACACACACACACACAGAAACACACGCGCACACTGATGAAAGAATGATTTATTTGGACCAACAGTGTGTGTGTGCAGCAGGAAGCCGCCTGCCTTTGGACCAAGTATTTGTTGGGATTTGTAATTTTTTTTTAAATTTACCTGCAACTGCATATCTGTTCTGGAATTTCTTGATGCTTATCAGCAAACATAAATCACAACATTGGTGTATCTGTCGTACATGTGAGGCCGCGCTTTGATTTAAATGCTAATGTCAGCATGCTAACATGCCAAATATTCCAATTCTAATGCTTTAAAAACATTGTTGAAAATTAAAGATGATTAAAGTATAAAAACGTCCAACAGAATTATACAGATCAATAAAACATATTAACATTAATTCACGTGGCTGTTAACATGATGGCACATGGTGGTTAAGTGCACTAAATGTCACATGATCATTAAATCAGCCATTGGAGGGCTTTGCGTTCTGGGCCCTTTAGACCTGAGGGCCTCCCAGCCTGCAGGTCTATGCTCTGATACTGATACTGTCTGCCAGATGGTAGCAGGGTAAACAGTTTGTGCACCGGGTGGCAGGCGACCAAGATCATCATTTGGGCCTTTCACACAGACATCATGTGTGGTACGTGTCCCGAATAGCAGAGAGCTAGCTCCCTGCCAGTGGTTCGCTCCACTGCAAGCACACATCCCGACAAACCCGAACGCGCTCAGTCCTGTGTAAAGGTCTGTGATGATAGCCGGAGCCCGTGCCAAACTTCTTCAGGCCTCAAGTCCTTACTAACTAGGATGGCCACGGGTTTTCCAGTTATGCACGAGCGGTATGATGTGAAGGCGTTACGCTTAAATAGGTCACACAGCAGAGGGCCCGAGACACCAGAGCCTTGGGTCAATGAAGAGGAGGTGTCGTTGAATCCTCACCACCTGAGGCCCAAACATCAGGAGATCAAGGACCCAGCTGCACAGCAAAGGTGTCGAGTGCCAGATCCGTGTTCCCGGAATCTAGGGAGTGATTCTCACAGTCAACAGGTATAAGGTTAACGTTATCACAAACGCATGTTCTTTGGTACATTGGCTGTACATTTATTTTGGTAGCGTGTCATTGCTTAACATGTCATAACAATGACATAGTCAGTGTTGCATATTGATGTCGCCATGAGTCTGTATCCTCCGTCGGGAACGTGACTGCTGCGTGGTCACTCAACACTAGACGGTTGTGCGGAACTGGTTCGTCCAGTTTTGAATCTTTTCATGTACGCTCAGAGCAGGAGAACGGAGATATAATCTGCTCTCCCAAAGGCAGGGTGGGGGGAGTTTGTATAGCAGTTGTCAAATGTGTATTAACCCCTACTGGGTAGGTGCTGGGAATATTTTGGCACAACCTTTTTAAATCTACATTTTTCACTAAAATGAGCGCATCAACTTTGAACAATTTGTTCAGCGCTGCATGGGCGGAGGTGGACAGAATTTGTTCCTGACATGACAAAAGTTAGAATATCCAGCAAGATGTCATGTTTTTGGAACCCGAGCCGAGAAATACCCCAGATTTTAACCTTTCCCACTTAAGACAAAAGCCAGATGTTAGTGCGTGTTTGTGTCCAGTGGGAGGGGGGCTTTAGAGGAGTTGAGCCGACCTCGAGAGGAAAGTAGAAGATTCGAGCTACGAACTATTGAGAAAGACCCTTCTACCTCCACTGAGACCTTGTGTGATGCTAATTTCCCGGCCCCGTCTATTGTTTTCTAACAGGGTTGTGTCGCAGCGACAGACATTAATTTAATCTCAGGGTTCACTTAATCTACTTCTTGTCAAGGAATTGAGCATTAGCCAGAATGATACTTGGAGGAGGGAAGGGGAGGGGGGGGGTGTAAAATACTTTCAAAGTACTTCAGTGCTAAGAACAAAACAAAGGGAAATTTGTGGTTGGTATTCATTGTGAAATTGTAAATGTTGAAGCCTGTTTGACGACCGCATTGGTTAAAGGAGAAGAACCCCTCCCCCCCCAATACAAAAACATGCACAAGTAGTAGTTAGGAACAGCTTTTGGCGATAGAACAGCGTAACTAACCGTGGCGACAATATGGATGCCGTATTTGACCCCTTCAGATAAACTGGGTTCAACAGATTGAGTTGAGCAACAGTGAATCTCTGACGTGTTCTTGACTTCACACAATAGGCCTCCGCTTCCCTTCCCCCCGCAGCACACACACAGCAGCCATGGAGGTGATGTGCTAATTGATGCAAAGTAACGGAGGAGGTGAAACCACAATGGCTGCCCCGCTAAGCCTTACAGAGACACTCCTTTTGCTTGCATGGCTCGTATTCAGTGAACTTTATGTGCTCTGTTGCCGTGTTTTGGGATTTCACAAGTTCAGAAGGAAGAAAAACAGAGACGGTTAGAGGAGGAAGAAGAGGAGGACGACTGAGAAGAGGAGCAGAGGGAGGAAAAGGGTAACACGGAGAAGGAAGGAGGATTAGGAGGGGGGAGGCCTCCTGCCGTTCTGAGGTCAAACACACAGCTGCGGTCATCACCTTTCACTGCAGGGGACTCACAGACACACACGCACGCACGCACACACACTCACACCACTGTGATCATCGCCCTCTGTGGGAGTTTGACCTGAGCCAGATGGTCACCGCTCGCTCTTTTTATGACTCTCTTCTTTTTTCGCCATGTCCACACTAAGTCTGTGTTTTTCACACGTAAAGAAAACGGAGCTTTTCAGGTACTCTCTCCACGGAGGACACGTTTCAAAACACCAGTCTAGCATTGTAGTGTGAACGAGGCGAACAATGCCAAATCAATGATGTTTCAATAACATGCCTTCACAGGGAGCTTCATACCGTGAAGACACATTTCTGTCCCCTCAAACTCACTGCAATCACTCCTTTTGAAATGGAGATCACAGAGTCTAAAACAAAGATATAGGTAAACAGAAAAACAGTACTAAATCAACTTTTCAAGAGTTTTCTCCCCATGCTGCCTTAACCTTAACAGATAGTATTCTTACGCATACTCATAACATCGTACTGTAAAGCTGCAGTATTATATTTGTCGAAATATGTTTGATATTCTCTATTCTATAGATTGTAGCCAACGCAGTACATGTTTTATGGTTCTATGCAGGTTGTTTTTTAACAAACGCACTAGTTTGAAATGAAGTTCTGAGTGCTTCTTGTCCAGGTATTTAATGCACGTAATTGTTGTTCCTCAGAAGGTCAAACTCCATACAAGTGAACATGTTTGTGTCTTTGTGTGAGTGTAAAGAACAAGCCAAATTACCCGGTTCCTAAAATGCTTTTTTTTTTATCAGGCTCCAGACATGTGTTTCCAATGTTCTTTAAATACTCTGCCTACACACACACACACACACACACACACACACAAACACACAAATACACACACGCACATTACTTCCACTGCCAAATTGTTCAAATGAAACCCCTCCCTTGTTGGGACACAGTTCATTTTTTCTTCTTCTTTTAGTTTCCGAATGCGTGTAAATTATAAAAACTGATTGAGAAGGACTGTGGGAGCGCGTCGATACCACGAACATTGAGTTGGACCGTGTACACGCTAGAGACGTTCCCTTTAGCAGCTAGTAGTGTTTTACAACAAGCGATGCGTTTCTTTTGCAAAGTTGCACACATTATAAGCCTTGAGGAAAAGTGGTGCGTGTGTGTCTGTGTGTGTCTGTGTGAGGGTGTTACCTTCTACTCTACTCCTCACGATATTGTGGCCAATCAAACTCTTTCAGACTCGCTATGTCTTTGTGGCCTGGCTGTAACCCCGTATGGTTTCAACCACACACAAACACACAACAAACACTCGCACATGCACACACACACACACACAGCCTCTGCAGTCTTGTAAATCCCAATTGTGTTGTTTCCAGCAGCATAAGTTTATGAGGGATTGGACAGGGGAATACGCCTGCTCAGGTCACGCCATGAGGTTACTGCTTGTCTGAGTGTGTGTTTGTGTGATTTTTTTATGATGGGGGTGAAATGAAGTACAGAAAGTTTGGGAGCAGTGTTTTTTATTTTTTAAACAGAGATTAAAAAATGTTCTTACATAGCAGGGAAATGTCAGATCTCGCATGCCCTCTTTATTTACAGTAAAGGACTACACCTCATTTGCCTTTTACAAATTCTATATAAGTTACATCATGTCCAGCCGCCTTGTGATTCCCCTGTCTCCTCTTTTTTTGAATAATTTTTTGCTATATATAATAGTTTTTTAGTGCGTTCAAGTAGGGAGATTTTTGGACAGGCAATTTTACAGTAATTCAATAAGAAGCTGATGGTTTTAAAATAGAACACAAACAGCAATGACATGAAGTGTGTCTCACTTGAAGATTGAGCACACTGGGATGTTTGTTTGGTACGCTGAATATTAGATTAGGGAGGAAACGAGCACATGTTGCATCTGTGACTCTAAAAGCCTCTGCCAGCATCTGTGATTCTTAAATGTCTCGTGTTCAGCTCCAGAAATATTAGGCCCTGTTTGCCCTTGATGCTTTTTTTTACTGCAGGCAGTAAAACATGGAGCCAAAACCTGTTGGACACTTTTATATAGAAACACTAAAATGGCAAACAAGTCCTGATCACGAACATGGGTGAAAGGGAGGGAAGGAAAAAAGGGTGTGGAAAGGACGTAGCAGTGGAGAATATATGTATATATATATAAACACACTCACATGGGTTGCTAGTCTCTCAAATGGCTTCAAACCGTTTAGCTTAAACAATCCAAGAAAAGTTTTATTTGCCAGAGCGACAGCAAAGAATAGCAGAAAACGTGTTTTAGTTTAAATACTTTTAGAGTTGGTAATATTTCAATTTGCTCTTAAACAAACACACTCTTCGGCCTTTTGGGCATTCGTGGTGTGTGAGTCAGGCGTAGTTAAATCTCCCTAAAATGCTGAGGAGCAAAGGAGCAGATGCTCTACTTACCTTTAGGTATTTCTCCAGAGACTGACTCACCAGATTCAGATCAATGGAAAAGCTGATGTAGTTCCTCTCTGTCGAGGACTTAACGGCATTGCTACACAAATAGAGACAATTCAAAGAAAGGAACAGCGCTTGCATCGAACTTCAGAAACATTGTACAGCAACTACAAAATACCAACACATTGTGCAAAATGTCTTGTGTGGTCGTGTTGTTCAGGCGGCATTGACAGCGTTACTTTGCACAGCCTAAATTTCAAACGAGGATTGTGTAAATGTTCCTGTCCATTGTGTGAGAGTGCCTCCTGTGGTCCTGGTGCTCAACATCTGGGGGGGCAAACTGAGCCGGGGGTGTAGCCAATGCTGCTTCTGCACCTCTGAGGAGGGAGACCTCTGCTGGAGTCCATGGGTCTTCCTGCTCTCACGCACGTATAGTATGTGTATTAAAAAAAAACATACATTGTGGAAAGATAGCTAATTAGTCATAACCTTTAATAACCATAATTTACACTTTTGCTTGATTTGGAGTATGACTTTATGTATGTTTATTTATTATATGTGGGGGGGGTATTTGTAAAAGTGATTTTTGGCTTTTGGTATAACATTAAAAAAAATAGGGTGACCCAATTCAGAACCGCGAAACGAACCTCGGCAGCAACAGGTGAGGCGCGGCCGCCTCGTTTGTCCCTGCCCGGCTGCCGTAGGAGAGGAGGCTCCCGTCAACATCGCCGGACAAGTGCGGCTCAACTTGTGCTCCCACTGCGCTGCACTGATTTCAATATATTTATTTATTCCATCGCGCCTTGTTCCTGTCGTGACAGCACGTACACACGCAGTTATGCGGCATCACGAACCTCCTCGGCGGTCCACCGAGTCCGAACCGGCGTTCGGTGGGTTTAGTTAGCTTTTCTTCTAGCAGCGGTAGCATTAAGCTAACCAAGTTTATTTAACTACTTGACCCGCGCTGAAATGGACAATATACGGGGTTCGTGTTTTATTGAATGGCAACGTATTCTGCTATTTCTATGAAAAAACCCGTTCTACCTGGACATATTTACTAATTGTCGTTTATTTCGTCTCCCCACTGAACGTGTGGCGTTCGTGTCTTGTTGTTAATCTCTGCGTGCGTTGCGTTAAATGACTTCCGAGTTTCGGGTTCCGCGTTGCGTGACACCAGACCACGCAGTGCAGACACAACTTTGAAATAGTTTTGCTGGGTTTGTTGTGACTTTTCCACCGTAGTTTTCCAGTGACGCCAAATTAAAGATCAGAAGAAACCGACGTGCTAAAAAGACCACAGATGCGATGGATTACTAGTTTGAATTATAATCGATTATAATCTTTTTTATCCCTCCAAACAGATGTTATAAGCTCCTAAAGACCGTTAAAACAAGAAAGAAGATGCATTCTGTTGCTGGGGAATAGAAGACACGGTCTTGTAGAGATGTTGATTGAGATGCCATCACTATCCTGTGGACAGAAGAGCCCGAAGTGATGGAGGACACGGAGGAAAGGTAAACACAACTTACCCTGTGATGTGAGATTCACACCACGGGTCTCTCAGTAGACCAGTCAAACTTAAATTACTACATAGAGCAAATTTCCTATATAAGCGCTTTTGTTCAAAGTGAGCCAAAGTATCTAAAGTAATATGTTATATACAATAAATGGTGGATGACATAGCTTGACACTACTTGGGCTAAGCTATGAAATTATACATTGCACATGGTTGAAAACGGTACTATTGGACATAATGTGGTTATTATTGTTGGGAGTGTTGCAGAAGGGGGAGCGGTTCTATAGGCTGGGGGAGAGAGAGAGAAAAAAATACTTCCTGTGGCCTTATATGGTGCACATGGGTGGTCTCCGTGTTCGACTGAAGGTGCTCTGAAGTGAAGCCAGTCGTTTGTGCGTTGGAACAAGAGGCATTGTCTATAATACTGAGTGGTCGTTTTTCAGCATCTCTTATACCAACACAGACTTCCGATCCACCCCCAGGACATAAACGGCTCTGAGTCTCAGATAAGTTAGAAGTGCAGCCACATTTGTGTCCAGTTGTCTCAGGTCCAGCTTCTCCAGGGACTTGATGTGAAGTCAAAGCCGCTGATCTTCAGTCCCCCCCCCCCCCCCCCCCTGCACAGCTTTCCACGGTTCTTGTCAAGGGGACATGGTTAAAATCTCCGGGGAACGCTAAAAGGGTGTAGTCTCCATGACGTCAGCGGTCCCGCCGTGCATGAACAGAGGGAGGAATGCAAACAACCATCACAATGGCTTTAGAAAGCTCCCTGAGAAAATAGTCTGGTCGCTGGCTTGCTGACAGCAGAGCGTCGTCATTAAGGCCTCTGGACAGTGCACCTCTGCCTAAAATAGTTTGTCCAGTTTGATGTGAGTGAGTCATTTGCCGATGTTGTTCTCGCTCCAACGATAACTGCATGTCGGGGCTCGAGGTAGAGATCTACACAGACGAATGAGCTGGAATTTGATGCGTCACTCAACCACAACGCGCTTCAACATCAGACGTAACCAGGTTCAAAATGTATGCCGGTATTCAGCTGATTGTGTTTTTTCCCTTAGTTCAGGTAATGTGTGAATTATTCCAGGTTAACAGTAGTGATTCATTTGCAAATACGCTTACAGCCATGCAGATGAGCGGGCCCCCACACCTCCAGAGCGGGGGCTGCTCCACATCTGGCAGTCGGCGGGCCCCAGTGCGCAGCTCTGTCCAGATCGAGTGCTGCTGTCCAGGCCCGTCCTTCAGGCGAGCCTGGGAGAACACCATGGCCTCCTGCTGACACAGGGTCAGTGTGGGACAGTATGGCTGTGCGATGGTCCAATCCACACTAACATATGTTTTTTTAAAATTCTCATATGTAATGAGGACAGATCATGATGAGCAGGAGCATCCCTGTGGTTGTCCCGCAGGTGGCCAGGTCTATTCCTTCGGAGAGCTGTTGTGGAGGGACTTGAGCGTCCCGGTGTCCGCACCGCTGCTGGAGATCTCTCTGTTGGGGAGGACGGTGGTCCGCGTGGCCGCCGGCGGCTTCCACTGCGGAGCGCTGAGCGAGCAGGGCAACGTCTTCATGTGGGGGGAGAACACTGCGGGACAGTGCGGGCTGAGCGAGAGGGGCACGGACACGAGCATCACGGGTCAGTAAATACCTTACCTCCTTCCTTCCTTCCTGTCTCGTTTCCTCCTCACATCCTACTTCCGCACGTCTTTAATTTACTCAATTGGTGTTATAATCAGTTGGTAAATGTCGGGGATGCGTCGGGCGTGCGAATCCTCCAGTTTCAGAGCCGTGCCCGGTCAGCGTGGTGGACAGCGACGTGGTCCCTCCAGCAGCGGTTCAGGTTGTGGATCTGGCGCTCGGGCGGGAGCACAGCCTGGCCCTGTCGGCCCGGAACGAGCTGTGGGCCTGGGGAAGCGGCTGCCAACTTGGCCTGGTCACAAACACCTTTCCCGTGTGGAGACCACAGAAGGTGATTCGTATGAAGCTGAATCCAGCCCAGTTGCGGATATTGATACTTTTGTGGAATATGGAATCTTTTAGCTGTGGAGAGAAGGGAAACTTAATGTGCACACTGATCGATGATGAAGCAACAGGGTTTTTGTCTATGTGCATATGAGCACTTGACAAAAAGGTACATTTTGATTACAGCGGTTTCTCATATGGAAACGTTCATATACGCGTTTTAACGTACTTATCTTATCTGTTTGTATTGTATTAATTTTGCTTGCAATTTTTTACCGTATGACTCACTGATTCTGATTTGGAATTTTCCCGTCTGTGGCAGGTGGAGCACTTGGCAGGAAGACACGTAGTTCAGGTAGTTTCTCTTCCTTATATCTTCTTTGATATATTTAATTTTTTTTTTTAAATGTTCTGTGTCCAAAAATACTGTTCCTATTCTTTATCAACAGGTGGCTTGTGGTGCCTACCACAGCCTGGCCCTGGTTCGCAGCTTACATCAACAGAATACCCCAGAATGCATCTGAGAAGACGCAGCGGGGGCAGTCGCCTCACTGTGCAGTGACGGAGGGGGAGGAGCCCTTTGCAGCGGATGCAGGTCACTACTGTCCGCTGGGGGTGGAGCTGACTGAGGTCATGACCCACGAGGTAACTACTTCAAAAATACAGAAAACTGTATTGGCAAGTAAGTAGAAATATATTTACAGAAACCAGATGTTGTTCAAATGTTTTAGGTTCAGTATCTATGAGCGTAGATTCTTATTTAAGAAGTTCATCTATTTTTCCGTCGGTTGATGCCCGTCTTCGGTTTTGGTTCCCAGACGTCTCCGGGGAGAAGAGACCCCAGACGGAGGCTCCAACCCGGGGAAAGGTAAGCTGGGGACAGCGGACGCTTTTTGTCAAATCCAAAAAGTTAGTGTCACATATTTTATCAATCTCTTCTCTCTACATTTGTCGCGTTTAACTGTTATCCATTTTTTCTGCTTTCTCTCTTCTCTTCCCTTTCCCTCCATTGCAAAACATAAAGGACGACTCCTCCAGTTGGGAACACCCCCCCCCTCCAAGAAACGGAGGGCCGCCCCAGGGCTCACCCAATGACGGGCTGGAGAACCAACAAGAAACCCGCTTTCCCCGACGAAGCCGAGCTCCAGAACCTCCTCCAGAAACTGTCCAGTCACTCTTTGGAGATGCGCCACAGCGCCGGGCCGGGAGACACCGACTCCATGAGCAGTTACACTTCAGGTTAGTAACTCAGTTCTAGTCTTTGTTCCTTAACGCATTCATTCTTTTTCACTAGTTTATTTAATTATTCATAGCTCTTTGCACCTTCTTTGTATATTAATTTGTTTTTGCTACTCCGTATCCATTTTTTCCTGCTGAAAGATTTGTGTTCCTTCTCTCCTGCCAATATTCTTTCCAGAGGACAGCTGTGTGTCCTCAACTCCTTCCACGGATCTGTTGACTTCCAGTTACAAAGAAGATTCACCAGTTAAGAGTCAAAGCAACAAGTAAGACCAAGTTCACTGGAGAGACAATGGAGCAAAATAGTTTTAGGCGATTCAGTTGGTCAGTGTTTGAATAATCTCATGAGGCAAAGTTGTCCCTGCAAGGGTGTATTTGTGTGGCTCTTCATTTTATTAAAGCGATTGCTTTTTTTGACACAGTCAACCTCAACTTTAACATGGTCTATTAGAGGAGACTTTCTCATTTAGAATGAATTTGCTGCCTGACCTCTGACCTCTCTCTCAGCGGAGTAGCCGCGCCGTACTCCTCCTCTGTTCCCGTGTGTTTGGAAGAAGTTCGACTTTGTCTGGCGGCGGAGAAGAGGGCACTGAGGGGCCCAAAGAGCACCAGTCTCACAAATATAAACCAGAAGGGGAAAGCGGCAGCGAACAGGAGACGCTCTCTGCCAGGAACACCCACCCAGGGTAGGAATGCTCGGCTTTGAACAACGTAGGGGTTAGATAAGGTTGGTAACCTGAGCCGTACTTATAAAACCAGGAGGCTGTTAGCTTAGCTTAGAATAAACTTGTTTTCAAGTTCATTCTTGAGAAACACTTAAACGTCACTCTTACGGTTGGATCGTGTTTTTTTCTTTCAGGGTCTCCACGGCAACGGCGGTGCAGTGCCGGCAGGCCGTCCTCCTCATGTCGGAGCCGGTCCGCGGCACCGGAGGAGGCTGGGGGTGGGCTGCCGTCTCTGGAGACAGAAGTGTGGAGCTGGGGCCGCGGGTCTGAGGGACAACTGGGACATGGAGATCAGCTGGCCAGGTGTGGATACGCAAACACACACACACACCAGTTTATCATCAGACCACTGCTTTCGTAGCCATGGTAACACTACATCTTGAGTCCAGTTCACCTTCATGTCGCAGGAGTGAAACTCAAGTCACGGGATGAGTGACTTAAAGATAGAATAGAAACTCCTCTCCTCTGTGTGTGTGTGTGTGTGTGTGTGTGTGTGTGTGTGTGTGTGTGTGTGTGTGTGTTCAGACTCCAGCCTCTGTGCATCAAGTGTTTGACTGGCGAGGAGGTGATCAAAGTAGCCGCAGGGTCGCACCATTCACTGGCTCTCACAGCCCACTGCCAGGTAACGCACACAGTTCTCAACCGTCACGGCTAAATGTGTTACACAAAATGTCATCGTATTTCAGGTCTGAAAGTCCAGTTGTTGTTTTCTTTTAAGGTGTACTCGTGGGGCAGCAACATGTGCGGACAGCTCGGCCATGTCAACAGTCCTGTGACTGTACCTCGGCAGACAGAGGTACATGCATCTGTACATCTTATTGACTGTGTTTGACTCCAGCCTTCTGCACTTAAATAAATCCAGTCATCCACATCAATTAGTCAAAATCCCTCATACACATGAATACGTGATCCCGATGACAGTACTGAAATAACAGAGCGATAGAAGACAAGAAGAGACAGCGGACAGAATACTTTATGCCAGATTATATATAAGTCATCACTAACATTCCTACAACCAAGCGGCCTTCTTTGTTTTGTCCCTCGCCGGCCGCTGCAGCTGTCCGACGGTCTTCGGGTTTGGGACGTGTCAGCCGGTCAGAGTCACTCCCTCCTCCTGGCCGACGGAGACTGCGTCCAGCCCGTCCTGTTGTACTGCGGCCCGCGCAAAGAGCCGAGCTGCACGCAGACGGAGAGGTCACGCAACACTCAAAGGTCGCCGAACAGAGCAGAGAGTTACGCAGTCCGACCCGACCTGCTGCCCTTCTGCGTGGAGGTTTGTGCGTCCAAAACAGAAACGCTATGTGGGTTTCCTCCAGCTGCCTCTCTGGAGGGTTTATGCCTTCTTTTGTTTTTGCAGATGGGTTACATCAGCGGCGTCTGCAGCGGCGGTCAGAGCTGCGCGGCGCTGGCAGACGTGAACGTGATGGGCTTTATCGGCGCCATCCACGAGCTGGCCTCCCGAGAGCGACGCTTCTACTGCTGGTTGAGCAGCGTCAAGCGGCTCGTCCTCACGCCGCTACGCAGCAGAGGTGAGTCTGCTCAGTATTTTAACCTCCTCGCCATTGGCGGTTTTGGATGTTGGAATTGAATGTTCCTCCTGAATATTGATTAAAGAAAACATGAAATTAAAGCAAATCGGAAAAAAAACTTCAGCATCTAATAAGTGATTGCATGAGCGCGTTGTGCGTGTTTGTGTGTCCCTCCACAGAAAGCGCGTCGCCGTCGTTGGGGGAGCCGTGCACTCACCTCTTCTTCTCTCTCTGTGAGAGTTTTGTTCGTCTGAGCCTTCTGATTGGTCAACACTCCACGGCGCTCAGCTACTTCCTGCATGATGTGCAGGGTTGTGACATCGCCTCCCTTCCCCTGCTGACGCACTCTGAGCACTTTCTGGACGTTTATAACGAGTAAAGTTAATGCTTTTTATCTAATTTGTTGGTAAATAAAGCCCCAGATTAAAATCTCAGCCTGTGTCGTCTCTCCAGGTATTGTTCTTCAGTAGGAGACTTCCAGGTGATGGGTGGGTTCCGACCACTCCATAAACTCTCCCTGTAAGCTCATTTATTTTCCTAGTAATAAGAATTCCCATCAAGTGAAGACCGACCACATTGATCTGAGCATACAGAAGAGAACTGATTCCTTTTGTGTCTCTGTGCAGCGAGTGTTTAGGCTCCCAGCAGGCCGTGCTCGCTCAGCTGTGTGAACCAGACCAGTCCGCCGGTGGTAAAGCTGATCTGGTTTCCTTGTTGTACTGGCCTCTGCAGCAGCTGCACCAGTACAGCCGAATGCTGCTCAAACTGGCCGCCTGTTACAATGTGGTGAGGAAGCTCACGGCACTCTGGTTGCTCTTCTTCTCTCTCTCTGCACTCTCACTATTGATTGCGAGTAAAAAACAAGTATTTAAGCTTCAAATGTATCCTCACATTTAAACAAACCTACTGTTGCTTTAATAATACAGCACAAGTTTTACATATTTCTAATTGAGCTATTTAGCAGTAGATGAATGCAATTGTGATGTAATCTTCTTTGATGTGCTGTATATTTATGCCTAACTCTTATCATTTTCCCCCCTCCAGTTAACTACAGAGTATCAGTCCCTCGATCAGGGCGGTAGTCGGTACGACTCCCAGTCCTCGTCCCTCTTGAGGAGGAAGAAGGAGGCCGAGACCACCTCCCTCTTCTGGAGTTCCCACTCCGGGAAAACCACCGTGAGCACCACTCTCTGTTACGTTATATCTCTGCGTCTCTGCTCGGGAAAGTGTTTTGTCATAATTCCGCTGGCTGCATAGAGTGCAAGTAAATATCATTGAATTGTGCTCAAATCACCACCCCAAACATCGACTTCTGACAAGCACAAGCAAAACGCCACCGAAATGGGTGAAAAGTGTCGATTGTCTTCATCGTTTAGTTTTCTACGCTGGTGCAAAAGTCTTAAGTTGGTAAATCACAAATGCTGATCACGGACCAACCCATAAATGTACTTCCAACAGTTTGTCAGGTTTTAATAAGCAAATAAACGTGTGTGTTCCTCAGGAGGTCCTGCGTCTCCCGCAGCGTCGCGTGGTGTGTGAAAGCGGCAACAGATCTCTGACTCTGCAGAACGCCGGGCGCTTCTCCAACCACTGGTTTATACTGTTCAACGACACACTGGTGCACACACAGGTACGCACGCACACACGCAGCGTCCCTCTGCAGACCCAATTTCAAATATTCAACTTCAGTGACGGGTAGTACGGAGGGAAGCTCTGTTAGTCGAGTTCTAATCAAACAAAGCTCCATCCGTCGTCCTGCCGTTTGTGGAGGTAAACCATGTTTTTCCGGATAAAGTTGATGTCTGAACATCTTTCGTTCACTCAGGGCGCCATTCCCTCTCAGAGCCTCGTAAGTACATCTGACGCTAGTTCTTGGAGCTTTGTGCTGCAGCAGCGTGGGCGGGCCGGTCTCTGTTCAGTAATTACCTGCTGACGGGTTCACGTAGTGAGCAAATAAAGAAGTGTTGACACGGGAATATGCGTAATGTTAAAGGTGCGTACGTTCTTCGCTCGCCAGTCTGCAATTCACCTTGTGTACGTGGCTCAGACCATCAGCCAAATCCTCCTCTCACAGAGGGTTATCTTTTCTGCAATTTTTTGTGTTAAAAAAAAAATCCCAGTAGTGTGTGATAGGTTAATAGGTTAACATCTAATCTACGCCTTCGCACTGCAGACGTCCCGTGTGAACACTTATGCTGCTCTGAGCTTTAGCTGCTACCAAACAGGCTATGGTGTGAGGGGTGTGTGTGTGTGTGTGTGTTCCTAGGCAGCATGTCGTGGTGAAAGCTGTCCCGTCTCCCTCCCTCTGGTTCTGGGTCCTGTGTGTTGTGTCGTCTACATTTTACACCTCGTGGATCCTGCCTTGCCTACTCAATGCGTCTTGCCTTGTAAATTCAGCATAGAACTACATTTGTCACGAGTTTTGTTATTTGCTTAGTTGATCAGAATTAAATTAAAAACCACAGTGCGACATGGACTGAATACTGTGAGAAATACCAAATGTCCCACATCTCCAGAAGGATGGAGAGAAGATGCATGAACCTGAGCTCTTTCTCCCTCTGCAGTTCTCCACACATCACATCTACCCGCTGGCCTCTCTGTGGGTGAAGCCGGTGACTGAAGACGGCAGCGGACTGTGAGTTTGGTGCTTTTAGAAATCCAACAATTAATGACAAGCGATAACGTGAAAGAATCTTCTTAAAAAATGCCTATCGGCGTTCTCCTCGTTTCTTTTTTCCACTTCAAAAATCTGACTTGGGGTCTTCAGCCATTTTTCAGGTTTTATTTCATGTTTTTAATTCCCTCAGAAGCAAAAGTAAATGTTTGTTATCGTCCGTGTGTCTTCAGCTACGCCATCAAAATAACGTGTCCAGAGGAGAGTTTCACCCTGGTGGCCTCGACGCCGCAGGAGAAGGTGATATCATTCATAACCCGCTCATTGCAACCAGGTTCATGTATCTTCTCTCCATCATTCAAGTCTCATGCAAATAGTTTTTTAGTAAATTATTTAGCAGATTTTAAAAACGTTGAGGGGAAAAGATTGCTTTTGTACATACATGATGAGATTGGGCATCAATAATTCAGAACGATCACTGTCTGATTTTTATTCAGTGTTTTTCACTACATACAGCTTTTTATTTGTTGAGATGCACACATCAAATGCAACATGCATTCTTTCTTCTACAAAAACCCTCTCTCTCTCTCTCTCTCTCTCTCTCTCTACAGAACAAGTGGCTTCGGTCTCTCAACCAGGCAGTGGATCATGTGCTGGGCGGCGCAGGTCAGGGGTCGTCGCCGGGTTTGGCTGCCATGTCCCGCACGGCCTCACACACGTTCTGTGGAGAAGGCCGGTTTAAAGACGCCCATTACACCGGCGCCTGGGTGGCCGGGCGGATCCACGGCAGGTTAGGCACCGTGTTTGTGTCCCTCAAATATCAAGTCATTGCTTATATTTGAGCCACGGCGAGCTTCGGTAAATCCTATGCAGCAGTAAATGTCAGTGAGATAAAAATCCAGGGTTTATTTGACTCTTTTAAGTTGAATACTTTCAGTAGTAGCTGTTTAAATGGGCACAGTGAATTGTTTGATATTTGAATGCGTTTGACTTTACAGAGGCACCATGAAGTGGCCCGATGGACGGACCTACAGCGGGAACTTTAAGAGTGGACAGGAGGACGGGTGAGTAAATGAACCCGGCGTCTAACCAGCTTTAACCTCTTTTTTTTAGGGGGACATTAAAAGGTTTTTCTCTTTCCAGATACGGGGAGTGTCTAATTCCTGACAAAGTGCTGAACAAGCCGGACGGCTACCAAGGACACTGGAGAGACGGCAAGATCCATGGTTTCGGCAAGTACAAGTCAGTAACCTGTTTTCTACTGACTTCTTAGTGAAGTAGAACGTAGCGTTGTGTACATCAGAGTGGACAGGACATTTTCAGTACCAAAGTAAAGTTGCATCTCTAACCTTAAGACCTTGGTGGATTCATGTCTCCGGTGGTGCTGCGCAGGTATGCCAGTGGCGAGGTGTACGAGGGCTGCTTCTGCGACGGCCACAGGCACGGCTACGGCATGCTGAGCTCCGGCCGGATGGCCAAAAGGTCTTCCAGCGTTTTCATTGGCCAGTGGGTCCACGACAAGAAGACGGGATACGGCGTCCACGATGACATCACCAGGTGTGACGCAAAAACGACATTGCCCTGACGCCGTCGCGTCTCGCTCGATGAAAACAACGAGACAGCAGCGCGGCGGTGATCTCTGCTCACCGCTCTCGTGTGCTTTCCCCAGGGGAGAGAAGTACATGGGGCTGTGGCTGGACGAGCAGCGCCACGGCAACGCTACCGTTGTCACCCAGTGCGGTTTGTACTACGAAGGGAATTTCAGAGACAACAAGATGTGTGTAAGTCTGAATAGGGCTGCAGCCTTGAACGGCGCCCGGTGTTAATGAAACCAGCTCGATTTATTCTCATTCATTTATCAGGAAGAATTGGTCCCCGTTCTGAATGCATTTAGCAGCAATTTGCCCTGATATGTAACTGGAAGGTGCAAAATGGCTTCAGGCGACAGTAAAGTAGATAAAATATGTTTATCCCTCCCGCCAGGGACCAGGTCTGCTGGTGTCCGATGACGACACAGCTTTGCATGGGGAGTTTTCTGAGGACTGGATGGTCAACGGGAAGGTAGCACTTTCCCACGCAATTGTCTTTTCAACTTTCTAATGCAACTGGTTGTCCTTCTTTAGAACTGCATTTTATTTTTTTTAAATCCCACTAAATGAATTGGCCCCTCTCCCATTCAGGGTGTTTTATCGCTGGCTAACGGGGATAGCCTGGAGGGCATGTTCAGCGGGGAGTGGACCACGGGGCTGAAGGTCGTTGGAACGTACTTCAAACCGTCCGCAGGCGAACCTGAACACAAAGAGAGAAGCGGCCTCCTGTGAGTATTACTTTGTCCTCTTTCAAACCCCCTTTTCCTGTAGAGCAGCGTTTTGTGTGTATTCTTCCCACGGGAATGTTCAGTGGAGTTTATCTGTGGATGAATATTAATGTGAGTTTTTTTTAATGTGTGCGCGTGCAGCCGGCTGGGTCAGTACGCGGTGCCGGCGGCTCAGAGGTGGCTCTGCGTGTTCGACGAATGTTGGAGTCGACTGGGCTGCGATTCTGCTGGCAGAGGAGAGAGGACTGCAGCCTGGGACAGCATCGCGGTCACCATAGCGACTGCACGGCGACAAAGGTGGAAGGATGAAGTCACAGGCGCCGCTCATAAACACCGCATCCCTGCAAACTAGGGGTGTAACGATTCATTTTAACTTCGATTCGAATCGCGATTCATGGTTGCCGATTCGATTCATTTAGAAAGATTCGATTCGATTTGATTCAGTGACTTAAAATCGATTCAGTAACTTTACTGGACAGTGCAGGCAAAGTTTCTGAGATCCCTGTTGTTTCTTGTAAGGAAATCAGGATTAAATTAATTATGGATATTATAAACAAGCAAACAACAATTGATGGCAAATGTATTAACCTTTTATTGTGCAACCATTTTCAATGTAAACATTACACAATAATTACACAATGTTTGGATCAATTCACAGAACCCTGGACTTTCAACCACATTGTAGGGTCGCATGTCTTTACAGATAAACTTGGCAATTGTTACTGTGATGTTGAGTTTGGTGCTGGCGAGGCCTGAGGTGTCTGCAGAGCTGGAGTTACCTGCTGCTGCTGCTGCAGCGGTGACGCTGCCTGAGGTCCTGACTGTCGGCTTTGTTTAATCCCACGGCGCCTTAGTAGATGGCCGGAAAGATGCGTCGTGTTTCTATGTTTTTTATTGGTCTTCTACATATTCTACAAACAGCGACCGACTTATTTAGAATACCTCCGTGTTTGCAAAAGCCAAAATGTTTCCACACGCTGGATCGATAAGTTGGTTTGTAAATGTCTTGCTCGCAGTCGTCTCCTCCACGCTGTGTTTTGTTGTTGTTTCGCGCTGCTGCCGCTGCGTACTGATGACGTCACAGACAGGCAGACTGAATCGAGTAATGTTTAACGTGTCTAAAGTGCTAAAAAACAAACAAACAAACACACATCCATACCGTTTTTGTGCTTAAATCCAATGTGCAGTTTCCAAGTATCGATACAAATTGATTATGTACCATTTCAATCGATTTGCGAAGCACAGATCGATTCCGTTGGATCACAAGAATATAAATCGATTAATCGATTCAGTGGATGAATCGTTGCACCCCTACTGCAAACGCTTCGCTGTATATTAAAGTGTGTGTGTGTGTGTGTGTGTGTGTGTGTGTTCTCAGCCCCAATCTCAGTAGGTCTCAGAGTAAAGTGCTGGAGTGTTTGGAGTGCATTCCTCAGCACGGAGAACCGGTGACCACGGCAAACTACGACAACATACGGAGATACCTCATTAAGGTCCGCGTGTGAGAGAGACGCTCTCTTCCGTCACCTGCTCCCGTCTGTACTCTTGTCGGTGTTGTACTTAAGTTTGCACTTGTGTGTGTGTCAGGCATGTGAGACCCCTCACCACCCTCTGGGCTGGCTGGTGGAGACGCTGGTGACGGCCTACAGGATGACCTACGTCGGCGTGGGATCCAACCGCCGGCTGCTCAGGCTGGCCGTGCAGGAGGTCCTGGCCTACCTCACCCATTTCTACAGGATCGTCAGGTAGACTCGCGCCCTGAGCTCTCTCTCTCTCTCCGCTGGCCGCCTCTTCACTGCTGAGCTTCCGTCCTGCTGTAGATCAAACCGCATTTTGTCGCTTGTTACTAAACAATACATTTAAAAAAATATTCTTGCAGGTTTCTGTTTCCGGGGCTGCCGGATGATGGCGGCATCATCCCAGACCCGCCTACCTCCACACCTGAGAGCAAGCAGAAGCCCGACATGTCAGATCAAAGGTGGGTGTCACACAGAGGAAGTGATTGCAATGGTTGCGCATTTCCATCTCCATCACTCCTCCTCAACCTTTTTTTTCTTCTTTTGTCTCCCTGCAGCGGCGTTGTGGTGCTGAGCTTCTCCTCCTTGCTCCTCCCTCAGCTGCTCCCTCGACTCTACCCGCCTCTCTTCACCCTGTACTGCCTGCAGGAGGAGCAGGAGGACGCCCGGTACTGGGAGCGCATGCTGCGGCTCAACAAACAGCCCGACCGGCCGCTGCTCCGCTTCCTGGGAGTGCAGGAGTGAGTGTGTACATCAACACACGCACACACACACACGCATACACACACACACAAACGGCACTGGGATTTTTAAAATTCTGACGCCTTCAAATGCCGACGGGCGCATGCTCACTTTTGTGTTTTTCCTGTAGGAAGTTCTGGCCAGTGTGGACGTCAATTCTAGGGGAGAAAAAGCAGGTTAGTTGATAAAATGCACTTTTTCCTCATGTTCCTCCTGCGGCTTTCAATCCCTCCCCCCATCCATCCCTCACACACAGCGTGAAAGTGTGCTCTTTTGATTTGTCTTCTATAACTGATTTTCTTTTAAAACCTTTATCACAGATTGTGTCCAGCAGTAAAGATGCCTGCTTTGTTTCTGCTGTAGAGACACTCCAACAAATCAGGTAGCTGCCATGTGACCCGACTATATGAACCATTAGCAACCTCTTGATCCGGAGTAATCGGCACACAAGCTCAAGTTCACAACCAATGTCTCAGTTAATGCGCAACTTTGAGGCACAATGAATTTCTCAAACGGGCTCAGCGAGGATTCACTGGACTCAGAACTAGCTTTGACCTCTTGGTGATTCAACGATCCTATTTTTAATTTTATTATGCTCCATCTGCAATTTCAACAGCATCCGGCACATGAACTTCACATTTTTCTATCACAAGTGATGATAATCATTTTTTTCAATGCCTAAATATTTTGAATTTGAAATTTTGAAATTTGACAATTGCAAATTATTAAAAAACTGAGAGGTTTCAATGACTCTGCCACAAATCCTGATTTATTTTAACCACAGGCTCTGGGGACCCCCCCCCTCCCCCTCCTCCACACATGTGTTGAGCTGTTACAGGACTAAAGGGGAACGTGTACTGAAAAGTGTATTGTGTATGAACAGAAATATGTGTTTTCCTCCACACGCAGCACGGCCTTCACTCCGTCAGACAAACTCCTCGTCATCCAGAAGACGTTTGAGGAATTGACCCAGGAAGTAAAACTGATGCTGGATGACAGCTTCCTGTGGTGCATGGATGACCTGCTCCCTCTCTTCATATACGTGGTGCTCAGAGCGAGGTGCGCTATCATATACACACACACACACACACACACACACACACACACTCTTTGTCAATAAGAGGCTTCACTGTCCTGACTCAACATGTCGGTTCCCTGCTGCTCTGCTCCAGGATCAGGAACCTGGGAGCCGAGGTCAGTCTGATCGAAGATCTGATGGATCCCAACATTCAGCACGGAGAGATGGGCCTGATGTTCACAACACTGCAGGTGGAACCCCCCCCCCCCCCTCCCCCCAACAACACACATTACTCCTCAAACATCTGACTACACTTTACATGACTGTGTCGCCTTAAAACGTGTGTGCAGTATGAGTGCTTTTCAGTTTCTATAATCAATTCATCAGAACCATCACTTAATCATTGATTGCACTCCTATGCTGCAGGCCTGTTACATGCAGATCCTCCAGGAGTCAGCGACGTAGGAGCAGAGAAGAAGAAGACACCAGGCAGAGCTTCTCACACAGGAGCTGCAGGAACAAAACCAGTCAAACCGCCTGGATTCCACCGGAGGCCACTGGGAAGCTGCAGATGGTCGGACGCAGGAAGGGGAAAAGCGCCACTCACCCCTCGGTCACTGGCGGCCCTCTTAGTATGTTACACCCCACTTCTTAATTTGGAATTTTACGTTTTTTTATTGGAATTGCGTCGCCCCCTTCTGGACAAGTAAGTAAACTGCTTTACTATCCTCATTACACCACGAAAGATGTCACTGAGGATTTTTAACTTCATGTTAATACATTACAATGTATATCATCAAAAGTATTTAATGGAAAATCAAAGTGCTGACAACGTTCTTGCAAAGTGGTTACAGCATTGAAGTTCTCATAACCCTAAAAGTTAATTCATTGAAATATATAATAATATATGTAATATATATTGATGCCGCTGTATAATACTCTGAGGAACGACAAGTCAACTGACCAGATCAGATGTTATATTGAACTTAAAGGGCCGGTAACTGAAAATATGAAATAATCATGTGGTTGATTGATTGTCAAGATTGTTTTAATGGTGCAGTAATCCACAAAGGGAACGTCACTGTTCTAAAGTAGTAACTTCTTCTCTTTTTACATACATTCATTTAACAGTAAATCTCAACCCCTCTAAATGCACTGTTGAAAATGTAATGAAACCTTCACTCCACCCTATGCTGTATTTGTTAAGACGGAAACATTTAGTTCTGTTGGTTTGGTGAAGTTTGGGGGTATTTATTCTTTAACAGAAGGTTGCTGAAAATGTAAAATTGTCCATATACTAATGGAAGTGGTTACACTGACGTCCCGTTACAAATTTAGAGCCTTTTACATCTTTTGAATGCAGGCGACGTAGTTAAAAACATGACGCTAAACGGACAGGTTCAGTTCCTTGAAACTTTCAAAGATAGAACAAGCTTCTATCCCCGTAGTCTCCTGTAATGCAAACCCAACCCGTGCATTATCAAGCAGCTCGGCAGTAAACTGTCACTACAGACGGAAACTATGCTTGACTTGCTCTTAATTCATGAGGGATCACTGTGGAAATGTTCTTTCATTGGTCCATATGTCGTGGGTTTGTTATTCTGTGTATTATATCTGTTACGAGCATGTGTGACTGTCTGACAAAGAACTTGTGGTTTAGTCCAGCAACTCATTTGGTCAAGCTACCTTTTAAAAAAACAATATCTATAAATTCCAGGATTTTGTGTCCGTCTCCATCAGTTATTTAGTTTTATATCCTGTTCCATCGTGTGCAGGATTTGTCAGACACCCTTCTGCAGGTTTGGGGAATTTGAGAGTGATTTCTACTTGATGTGCATTGTGGTACTATGGTTGTTGTCCTTGTAATTGATCTGTTCTCTGTAAAATACTGTCCTCGGATATTATGGGGGGCATCAAAGTAATAACTTACAGTATTTTCATATATTTTTCTTTTATGTTTCTTGTTCCTGCAAAAGAAAAAAAAATATGAGTACAATTTGGCGTGACACCCAGTTTTGGCTGCAAAAACCAGTGAGCTTAGTCACAAAATATTGTCTTATTTATTTTTAGAAGCTAATTTAATTATTTATTAGAGAAAAGTAAAAGTATAAATTCTATATCATTGTTGATATTGAGCGTCAACGTGGATTCAAACATTTAGATTGCATCTAAAATAAAGAGGGAAAAAAAGCGAGCTTTTCAGCTATTGATGTTTTTAAGAGGCGTCATCGTGTTACTGTCGATCAACTTTCTAATATTACAGAAAAGCAGGTGTTGCATTCAAGAAAATCTGTTTCTGTCGTTACTGAAATGTGTTTGTACTGTATTTATTTTTGTACAGTTTGGTTTCATACAGAAGTAAGCTTGATGAATGAGAGACAGCTGGATTCTGGACAGCACAGATGTTCTGCAGGTTTTAGCCCAATATCAACAAATTACCCGCAGCTTTGTCTACCAAACATGTTTCCTCGCTCACAGGACACTGTTTTGTTTTCTTCTTCTGAAATGAAATAAAACTAATCCATGACTTGTGATTATTCTCTTGTAACTAAACCTATATTTTTGCATCATAGAGACCGATGATTGGTGGAACCGATTAAAGAATGTTATAGTAGTTTTGAAAGATATATTTAGTGAGCTGGGAAATTGAAAAACGTTTGTAAGGAGCAATAAACTTGATTTGACTCTGGAAACGACTAATGTGATTATTTGTGCCTCCATTGTCAATGAATCTGTGAATAATGATAAATGTAAATAATTGATATACCTGAGATTTGTTCATTTTAGTCCGCGTTTGAGTTGTTCAATTAACGAATTCGCTCAGTGTTCAAACATCATTGTGTGTCTACAACAACACTTTGTGTGGAGGTTTAGCGCTGAGGGGTCCTTCGGAGGTGGTCCGTCACCATGCAAAGCACACACACTTCCATTGTATCTCAAAATAATGCAAATAATCCAACATCAGTATCTTGGAGATCATCCACATCATTTCCTTCTTTAGAGGGGAGGTCTTTGACAACCAGTTTGATGATGATCAAAAATTGCTGCCGTTTGGTTATATTGTTGTGTGTGTCTTGTTAGAAGCGATGTAATGCTACCGTGTACTGTACTCGTATGCAGGCAATGGCACAAAATAGACACTGGAGGGAACCGTCTGCTTCCATTGATGTGGACCACAGAGATGGCGCTTCTTGTCATGTATCCAGGGAGAAGTTGAGGCTGTGAAACCAAAAGAAAAAGCAGACAAGATTTTAAAAACACGATAAGCGGAAGTCTTTACGACTCCTCTACATAAAATCAGTTTTTTAGCTTTCTGTTTCTATTCTTTACGTGATTCTTTTCACCTAATACATTTGAGTTAATTTGCGAATGGAAGTTCTTCAGTTGATGTGATCTCTTCCACCACTAAACATGATTACGGCACCATAAGTCAGACAAATAAGTAGTGTCTTTTTCAGTATCTTGACGTAAGACTGAGGTACACGCGTGTCGGACCATTTGGACTTCGCGCCCATCCGAGATGTTCTCGTGATGCGTGAGCGGATGAAACCATCTGCTACCTGGAGATGACACCTGGCTGTGGACTGTGATCATGGATCAGCACCTGTAATGAGAGCAGGCATCTTTTTTACTGTATTAGTTCATGCTGTAGTTACTCACTCCATAGCAGCACTTGCATGAGTGTGACAAACCTGTGTGTGTGTGTGTGTGTGTATCTCAGATGAGGCCTTTTGAGTACACGTCCGTGCGCCCGCTGTCTGTCTGAGCAGCACGTGGAGGGAATGTCATACTGTACATTCACATGTTAAGGTGCAGGAGTTTCTTTGCTGGTCGGTCAGGTTTGATTAAACCAGTGAAGGAGCTGACGCTGTGAGATCTCAGGGCGTCGCTCGCTGTACAGACAAAACCTATTGATTAAACCAAGAGATTTGAGTGAATCTGAGTCTCGGTATTGAGCATCAAGAATCTTCTCTGCACTGTGAGTTGGTCCCTTTCAGCTGTCCATGATGAACAGATGTGTTCATTTGGCACATGATTAGAGCAGCGTGTTATAATTATAATCATCTGTCATCAAGTTGTGTCTTCATATACGTACACACACACACACACACATGCACTTTACATCCTGCTAGTTTTATGTAGACTATAAATCCATTTTAAAAACAAACTGCTCAATGGGGGGAGGACGTGACAAAGCGATGGAGAATGGAAAATAAATCATTTCTGTGAACGTGACAGGAAGAAAATAAACACTGCACGGTGCTGGACTTCGAGGTACTGTTTGCTCGTACTTGCAGTGTCAGCGACATGCACAGAGGTGTCCAAGCCGGTGGCTGTTCCGTGAAACACACAAGAACTGCACAGTGCTTACAAAACATCCGACCCTGCCGGCGTGTGTTTTGGAAAGTTCTGCAGCAGAGGGGCGTTTTGAGAAAGGGAATGTTGCAATCACATTTGGCTGCAGGACTCCAGGTTTAATCAGTAAATGAAAGCGTGTGTGGTCCGTCTCCCACGTTGAGTTCTGGTGATTCTAACAATAAAAAAAAATTGGTTGCTGATGTTCGACTCGTCTGCAAAGAGAAAGAAACCTGAGGGATCGTTGGAACTGCAGTTCAGCAAGTTCAGGTTGGCATAGCTTCCAACACACACACACATTTTGGAGGTTTGCCCGCACCTCAGCTGTGCTTCACTGCGGAGAGGATGACAGAAAGTAAGGCGGAGGAGACACAGACAGCGAGAGCACAGGAGAGAATACAAAGCAGGTGGAGGCGAGAACCAACACCCAGAAAACAGTCCAACGTGTCCGAGTATTTATTGAATGGAAAGATTAGAAACAAGGGGGTAACCGTTACATGGATTCATATTTCACAGCAATAAAGGTTAACCTTCATTTGGATTCATATTCAAAGCAGAGACAAGATTGACACTTTAGAGACCAGCATGGAAATAAAGAGACGTCTGCAGTGAAATATCCTTGTTTGCACAGTTCATTGTGTGCTCAGACGAAGCTGTGGGAGGAGGAGAGGACGGTAGCGTGCTGCGTTTTAGTCAACATACGGGTTATGACAGCAGACTTGTCAGTGGGTTTTAGGTTATTGGAAAAACACCCATATGCACATATGAAAATGTTATTGGTGGCTGCGGTTGTTCCTGCGCTCCTCGTGCGGGTCAAAATCCACACGATGCTATTCAGCATTAAAAAGACTTGTGCTATTATGCTTTTGGAGCTATTTATCATTGTAATATTATATCACACACACACACACACATGCATGCATGCAGTTTGCTTCAGTCAGAGAACACATTTTCCATCAGGGTGGGAACAGATTATTGTCAATTCCTCGACCTTCCACAAAACCTTCAGTTTTACAGTGAAATCTGAATCCTGTTTTGTTTTTGTTCCTTCTTTCAGTGACGGGCGGCGTGTAAACGTCAACATGAATGTGTTTGGGCATCACGCGTTCCCGTGTACAC